ACATATAAAAACAATATTCTCACACTATTTCACTTTTTACACCAAGTCTTTTCATCCTTTTACTGAAAAGACATGTGTTTCGATGTATTTACCTCCCATGGGGCAGTTGCCAACTGCCAATAATAAATTGATTGTGATACAAGTCACTTCATTCATAGCTGAGGGAATATAGCCGTAACTGCACTGAAAACATGTTGCAGGAAAGGAGAAGCTGCCTGGCAACTCAAGGAGAAACTCCCCAACAACTCCACTGAGATTCAGAAGATCACAAAAAGATGGAAGTACAAAGACACCCAAAGACATACCTAGGGAGAGAAAAGAGGGCCTTTCCCTTTTCCTTTACACTCAATGAAGGCCATGGGATGATCATGATGATCCAGCTTCAGGCAGGGTGAGCTCAAGAATCACCAAGGAAGAATAGACGAGCTTCATTTCCCTCCTTTAATGTCCCTATGCATAATTTTTTCAACGAATTTTCTATTTAGTGTCTCATTCTTCATCATGGTGCCACATCATGTATGTGATTTGTCATGATATGGGAGATGGTATCTCCTCTTAAAGTTCTTAACCACCCTTGAGCTACCTCAAAAGGCCATGTTACTTACTAATGTGGCAATGAAGTTGAGTTGTGATTCCATAGGTGGCACTAAGCTGGAAAAATATGCAAATGTATGAAAATGTATGCCCATGCATGACAATATATGAAAAAAAAAAAACATATAAACACAAATCTTTCTCACACTATTTCACTTTTTACACCAAGTTTTTTTCATACTTTTACCTTTAATGACATGTGTTTAGATGTATTTACCTCCCCTAGGGCAGTTGCCAACTGCCAATAATAAATTGATTGTGATACAAGCCACTTCATTCATAGCTGAGGGAATATAGCTGTAACCACACTGAAAAACGTGTTGCAGGAAAGGAGAAGCTGCCCCGCAACTCAAGAAGAAACTCCCCAACAACTCCACAGAGATTCAAAAGATCACAGAAAGATGGAAGTACGAAGACACCCAAAGACAAATAAGGCTGACTACATTGGCTAGGGACGATCACAATGATCCAGCTTTAGACAGGGCAAGCTCGAGAATCACCACCACAAGGAAGAGCAAGAATGGACGAGCTTCGGTTCCCTCCTTTGATGTCCCTGTGCATAATTCTTTCAGCGAATTTCCTATTCAATCTCTCGTTCTTCATCATCGTGCCCACTGCCACATCATGTAAGTGATTTTTGACGGCAGAACTTCTTTAAAATACAATGTTTGTCTATCAGACACTAAGCATTTGGGCGGAGAGTCCCTTTTCAGCGGATTGACGGTGGGAGTGGTGACTCTCGTCTCCTTCATTTTGGTGATTCCACTTTCTAAGCTGCCCAAGTTCAAGAGAAAATACAGCCCAACTCTCGACTTATCATCGGCTTGCCTGATTCTTGGGCATATCATCTACGCTCTTGCTGATCGGACTGGAGTTCTTTACCTCGTTCTCGTGGGGCGGATGATAAATGGGATTGGTTTGACCGGGTGCTTCTTTCTGAAGAGGTACTGCACAGATCCTTGCATTGTTGGTGTCCGGAGGCGAACGACGTGTACAAGCCTGCTCATTCTCGCCCAGACCCTGGGAATGGTTGCGGGGCCAATCGTCGGAGGATTTCTCGCAAGGATTCCCATGAAAACAGCATTGTTCAACAAAAACACATTGCCCGGCTGGTTTATGGCAGTGGTTTGGAGCATCTATTGGTTGCTGACAAAAGTCCTGTTCAAAGACGTGACCGATACTGCCGACCAGGTCTGAATTCTAGTCAATCATTTTAATTCTTATCATCGTTTCTCCAGCTTCATGAGCATCATGACAGTCGCCTAGAGGTTTTGCAGGGATCTAGATGTGAATTTCGTTCAGCAATGACTGATTCTCTGTGTGTATTGGTGGTCAGGTCAGGGATTCTAAATATGACGCTCGATCCCAATGCGCTGAGGGAGAAGGGGCCGAGAAGCAAGCCAGCTTCAGCAACAGGTATGGATTGAAGAGGCCGGATAAAACGTTTTTAATGCTTTTTCTTTCTAGCCCGACAGCTCAATTCGCATGAGCCAGCTTGAGGTACCGAGGTTTGCTCGCTGGTTTCTATCTTTCCAGCGGCACCATGGCCGGGGAATTTCAAGAGACTCTAGATATGACACTCAATGCGAATGCGCTGAGGGAGAAGCAAGCCAGGTATGGATTGAAGAGGCAGAAGCCTCTTGTCGGGAAAAACGTTTTTAATGCTTTTTCGGTTGTACCGAGGTTTGCTCGTGTTGCTGGTTTTTAAACTTCATTTCTCCCATTTTTCCAGCAGCACCGTGGCCAGGTCAGTTCAAGCCCTGGAGAAGCAAGCCAGCTTCAGCAACAGGTATGGATTGCCCGAGCTTGCTGGAATAAACGTTCTTAACATAATTATCTGCCCCGACGATCATCAAGTCTCAATTCAAATGAGCCATCTTGAGGTACTGAGGTGTGCTCGCGTTGCTGGGTTCTAAACTTCATTTTTCCAGTGTGTCGTTTCTCCATTATTTGTCTCCTGCCTGATGAGTTACACAGCGTTCGTTATCTTCTTCGAGCTCGGGTCGTGGGAAACATCCATCCCAATATATTCATGGAAGAAATTCGGCCTCGACGCGTTCGAAGCAGGAAACTTCATCGGGCTCATCGGATTGGGGACAGTTTTTCTTGTGGCAACAATGCCGGCATTGGCTCACAAGATTCAGGATCGACTTTGGCTGGCAGCTGGGTGCTTTTTAGGTTTGGCAGGGATTGTTGCAAATTATATCCTGCTTGGAGGGAACAGTGGACACATGAACTTTCCATCCTACGCAGCACAGTGGTTCGTGGTTTGTCTTGGGTTTAACACTGCTTCCAGCATCACACTCTCACTTCTCTCCAAGAATCTGGGAAACAAATCCTCGGACAGGGCTGCTATTGCCGTTCAACTCTCGAATTATAGCGGAAGGCTGCTTGGGGCGATTTGGGGCACCGCTGCTGATCTGGTTGGAGACCGTGGTTGCCACTGTTGCAATGGTGGGGATAATTGCTATGTGGAGGTTACTTATTCTTTGAAAAGAAGTTCACCAAGTCTTTCATGAATTTATGACTCATGGGCTTTCAGAGCAATGTCCAATGTTCCATAAGGACTAAACAAGTGTAAAGTGTAAAGAGTAGTTTGGTGCTACTTTTGGGCCATTTGCCTCTAAGGTGACTCTACTACTCTTGGCCTTTCCTTAGTGTCCATGTGAACAAAATAAATCAATTTTACACAATGAAGATTTGCATTAAATGTGATCCAATTGAGAACTTCTAAAAAAGAACCAGACTTTTGCGAGCTTAAGCTCGTGAATCTAGACAAATCCACTCCAAGAACTTAAGACCAACAAACTGGCATGTATATTTTGCATAAGATAAAAGAAATTAAGCTTTACAAAATGTCAACGTTAGAATATGAGATTATGCTAAAGCTATATAAAGGTTTAAAGACAAAGACAAGTTAAAGAATTATTTAAGTTTGGATTTATTCAGTGAAGTAAGTTTGTGTTTAGCATACCTAATGCATAAATGCAAATTTTATACCTTGAATAAAAAAATAATGAAGGATAAGATATTGATGTCATGTGTGGATAATATCTTAAACAAACTTAGTGACCAAGATTGATATGAAGAGTGGATATTACTAAATTGTGATAAATGATATATCTATCTCTAAAATAGTGTTTAACATGAACTTAAGCCATTTTGACTTCACAATTATACTGTTTGGATTGACAAATGTTCCAGCCACATTTTCTCAATTGATAATGAAAGTGTTTGATTATTATTTACATGAATTTATAAAGATTTTCTTAGACGATATTCTTGTTTTTAATGGAAATATAGGGGAGCATAAGGTGCATTTTTACAGGGTTCTTTTGCTATTACATCAAAATAAAATTGATGTAAATAAAAATAAATATGAATTTGCAAAGTCAAAAGTGGAATATTTAGTTAAGTTTTGGTATAACTAATTAACATTTATAAGACAGATTTATAGAGGTGGTTATTCCTTTAATACAATTGTTGTGTACAAACATACCATTCAAATAGAATGAGCCACAAAAGCATTTGGTTTTGTGGTATTGAAACAATTGTTAAATAAGGGTTCAATTTTTCACATTTTTTATCTCTTAAAGCCTCATCAAAGCCTTATGAAGTGATTTATGATACAAATATATAGTGGGAGGAGTGTTACACATAAAGATTTTTTGAATATTCCCCCTAAGAAATATTTTAAGAGTAAGAGAGGATATCCATATAAAGGGGTATATATTTTTCTTCCTTGAAAGTTATGAAGGTATGATTGAAAATATATAAAATTTTGGCTATAGAGGAGTTTTTTGCTATGTTTTGAGTGTATTTACAAGCAAGAGATGTGTTAGCCATAAACCAAAATGATAACTAGAGTGGGATGGGTCTGGCCCATCTCATTTCCATATGTTTTCTTTCTTGTTCTTGAGAGCTTGTGAGGAATTTAAGCATGATTTTAGTTCTTGGTAGTAAAATCTATGTCTAAAGGCACTCTTGAAGTCAAATGGATTCTCTTAAGCATAGGATTCTACCATTCATAATTTTTCTTAACTTTCTTTGGGTTTTGGTGAAAAATCTAGTTCTTGCATTTTAGTTTCTTATTTTTCAGCAAATTGAGTAGATGGGATAGGATGGGATTTGATCCTACTTCATAGACAATTTTGCCCAATATTATATATCTTGACTAATGTGGCACAATGTGTAGAGTTTGTGAGATCATTGGCAGGGAAAGGAGAAGAGCCCACAACAAGTGTTTCATAAGCTTTTTCTCTTTCAGCAAGATGGTAATGAATTTATGCTTGATTACATGATATGATTCAAGCAATATTAAAAGATGTATTAAGCAAAAGAGGTGACAAAGGAGGAGAATCTAGCTATCTCCACTTATGTGACTAGACTCAAGCTAAGGATTTAACAAAAGGTGGCTAAGTGATGCCATTCCAAATGTAGCAATATATATGATCATATCATGGAGATTGAGAATGATTTGATGTGAAAGTTAAATGTTTCTAGTGTGGCAGAAATGTTTGGGCTATCTCCCACTGCGGCAATGTATACTCTCTAGGACACCCATCATCATCGGCACTAACTGCAAACTCTTCTATTCCTATTGTTGACTCGGCCATGTCAAAACTTCAACAATACAAGGTTGTGTTACTTTAGCAACAACAAAAATTCATACTCCAACAACAATAGCAAGAGTGGCTTTTGGAGGAAATCCATGCTTTCAAGGTACAAGCCTCTTCTTGCAAGCCACATCATTATTGCTCACATTGCAATTATTGTTGGAAGCTACACCCAAAACAACATCCCAAGAAGCAACAATAAGCTATAATATAGCCCTTTATAGACAACTTAAGCCTTCAGGTAGATGGTTAGTAGGTAGCATTGCAACAAAAAACCATCAAAGCCCCACCACTACAAGATTGTGGCAAAGCTTTTGAATGAGTGGAATTTATAATAGAAGAGACCATTGTAACTATTACTAGTGGCAAAAAGAAAAAGATCCCAACTACTATTAAGTTTGATCAAGCACCACCATCTCCACTTATAGAGGTGCATTTGCCCTTCTCTCGAGCATTTGTAACAGCATTTTCAATTCCAATTGGTACTTCCTAACTAGGGTAAGTTTTCCCTAGAAATTTACATTAAAGTGTTTCTTTTTCTCAAAAAACCAAAGCCACACTCCCAACACATTTGTTAGAGTAAATTCAAGCAATCCAACTCAATGTTTCTCTTGGTGACTTACTCCAATGCATTTAGGGCTTGGTTAACCAATTGGTTTAGTTCTCTAGACTCTAGCCTAACTCTAATGCTTCCCAAGAACCTTCTAATGAACAAATGCAGCTTGTGGATTGTCCAATTCAGTTGGATCCAAGTGCATTTTTTTCACTAATTGGGATCACCAATACAATGATTGATAGAGCACACTTGGACTTTAGTACTGGAAGCAACATGATTTCTTTACACTTTATAATCATCTAGGCATAGAGATGTTATCTACTACAACAATCATTCTTAAAACATTTCTTAAGCTTCACATAGTTGAAACTATGTCATCTTTAGCCAGTCTTGGCATAAAGTAGTGGATTGTGATACATGTTAGCACTTGGGATCAATGACCATCTTAGATGGAAAATGGTCTACAACTCTTCTTAATAAGCATGGGCAAAGACTTCAAGTTGAGCAGAAGGTGGTGAGCATAATGAAGACATAGAAGTATGTATGGGACACAAATCCCAGAGCCCCAAAAGTGGAGCCAAAAGGGTGTTATATGGTAGTGGCCAAAATGGAAGATAAATGAGCACAACATGTTTGGATTAAAAGTTTTGACTTGAAAAGTCAAGAGTGGAAGTGAAACTTTTAACAAAGTGCTCAAGGAATGAACACGAAGCAAGCAATAAGTGAGTCTCTGGAAAAGGGACACAAGAGGACTAACACATGATATGTGGAAGTGTCAAGATGGACTTGAGATGGAAGCTGAGATGGAATCTGAAATGGAGTTCGAGATAAAGTCTAAGATGGAGTTTGAGATGGACCCAAGACAGAGTCTGAGATGGACTTGAGATGGAGTTTGAGATGGAGTCTAAAATAAAGTCCGAGATGGAGTTTGAGATGGAGTCTAAAATAAAGTCCGAGATGGAGTTTGAGATGGACCCGAGATGGAGTCTGAGATGGAGTCCGAGATGGACTTGAGATGGAGTCCGAGATGGACCTAAGATGGAGTCCGAGATAGAACCAAGACCAAGGCCGAGATCAAGACCGAGACCAAGATCGAGACTAGATTTGAGTTTGAGTCCAAGTCCGAGACCGAGTCTGAGTTCAAGTCCGAGCTCGAGTTTGCGTCTGAGTTCGAGTCCAAATACTAATACAAGCTATTAAGTGAAAGCCTAAAGCAATTGTCCCTTAGGGGGGGGGGGGGCTGGGCTGTAAGGGGTTCCAAAAGTATAATAGGGAAAGTGTGTGGGTTGGACTCTAGTGGAATTTGTTTGGCCAAGAAAGGCTAGTGTGGTTCAAAAAGGCTATACCCACATGTTGGGTGATGATATAACCATTAGAAAGTCTAAGGCTAAAGTGAATATGAATAGACTAGTGGGGTAATTTGGTAAATTGTTCAAGAGTCAATTTTAACTCCCTTAGGAGATTGAATGGTCAATGCTTTTAGTCCAAGTGTGGGTGGCATTACCTACTTGGATATTTGGCGTGGCTCATTGAAACCTTGCTCTAGCCACCTAGCTAGAGCACCTAAAGGCAGATGGTGGGAAGAGTACCCATGAGGCTCGTGTAGGGTCGTGGTGTTTCGAAATGTCATCCCAGAGTCCCAAACTGTGGACAGAAAGAGGAGTAATCCTCTTGTATGGTGACCAAGGATGCAGTCATACTGCAAGGAAGTCTTAGAGGTCAATGGGATGTAGTGATTGTGCCTTCAAGCCTTAACTCAGTGGCAGTGTTGGCAAACACAGCCATGAACAAAAAGGGACTTGATGAGGACTGAAAAAGGGATATTAGAGAAGGCTATTCCCCATGTTTATAAGCATCCTAAGGATATTAAAGAGTGGATCTACGATGATCACTTATGGACGGATGGCCCAGTTTTTGAGAGATGGGACTGTGATGTAGGTGGTGTTGGATCACCAGTGTGACAAAGGTGAATGGGCATAGTGTTAGTGTAATAAGTTGATATGGTGATAGTACTTTGGGTGTCAATCATGGGATTGGTCATAAAGCACTTGGACCAAGTGCAAAGGTTGAGTGGTATGGATGCCATTCTCAGGGCTAGCAAGTCCCCAAGTCCGAAAGAGGACTTATGGAGATTGTGAGTGAGACTCTTCCAAGTGGTTAGAGGTGTGGTTAAGTGATTAAAGTAGAATGGAAAATTTAGTCACTTACAGTATGATAATCTATTTATGGTTTTCCTGCAACTTCTTTACAATGAAAGTTTGCCAGACTTGGAAGTTTATAACTACCCAAGACCAAAGCATTCTTGGAGAAATGAGGAGGACTCCATCCTAGAGCCTCTAGGTCCATCACACATTCAATTGGATGCCCTTATCTCATAGATTCTTTCTATTGCACAGTTGCTAAAAACTATGATGGTGGAATGCAGCAACATTGATTCCTACTTACTAGACAACATTAACATGGGATTCTCAAATATATATTCATATATTCAAAATGTGTTTGAGACCAATCAAATGCAAGATATGGCAAAGATTTTAGAAATTCCCCAAATGCCCACTATAAGGGATTTAGAGCTAGCAATTGATCAAGGCATAATTTTGCTTCCACAACTAGCAAAGGAGCTTTAAAGTACTCATATTGAGGTTATATCACCTTTGGAGCAGCTAGAGCACCAGGAAATTGTGAAGAAAAACATTATGGAGTTTCTTATAGATACCTCTCCTTTGTGGAAGAGTTCTCTAAAGAATATGACCTCTTTATTTGAGGCTGAGCTTATACTAGATTTGGTGGAGGAGGCTATTGCAAGTCTCTAAGCTGAGCACACATTACTATCTCTAAAAAACAATGATCTTCTCTTATTGCCAACATTTAGTGTTATAGTAGAGTTTTCACAAGAGGCTTTTTTTGGCTAACTATGAAAGCAATGTATCCACCCTATTGTGATCTCTTATGCACTAATGTGTGACTTTCAAGTACATCTCTAGGCACCATATACTTTATCATGGATACTTGATATGAGTTTTATTCCATTTCAAATGGCAAGTTCTAGGATTTCATAATGACACTTAAGATACTCTTTTGGTTAGTGATTTTAGACGTGCTGCATAAGAGTTTTAAGCTTGCAAAACTTCATTCTCTTTGCTCTTTTCTTTTTTGTATTTCTTTATTCTTTCACTTTTCTCCTTTTTTTATTGGATCAAAAGTTTAATTTAATTATAGAGTTTTCCACTAAATTTTCCCTTTGTCTTCAAACTCCACACTTCTATCTTTTTTATTTTTTCGTCATTTCACTCTCTTTTTGTAGTTACTTGTTTTGGGTATTTGCTTTCTTTGGCTACAAATTTTTACAGTTATAGGTCATGGGTTCTTTTTATGTGAAGGGGCTGTTCAATGCACACATGGTCACTTGTTGTAAAGCATTTTGGAGCATAAAGATTTTTTGATATAAGTATTTTGAGCATGATAGAGGATATTCTATATAGGGGTATATACCTTTCTTCCTTACAAGTTTAGGGCAAAATGATGATGATAAGTTTTAATTTTAACATTAATTTTATCGTGGTAATGACTTATATAAAGAATATAAATTTTTCTAAACCTTTGGTTGAACAATTTTCTTAGATCTTAAAAATTGAAGCAACTCCTTGTGATTTTTTATGCCTTGAAAGTCCTTATAAAGATTTTGCCTATGAGAAAGCCACAAATGTAAATTTATTTTAGTACTTATAATTTTTCTTACCTAGTTTCAGCCCATAGTAAATCATACCATACAAAGCTTGTAGTTGCAGCAAAACCCACCATTTCTAGTGCAGCATCAACTAATAAAAGAAAAATAGTAACAGAGAATAAAAGAAAATGAAATTACCTCCATTAATCATGCTTATTGCACCAGCTCCAACTGCAACTGCTGGAACTATAGCTTGTACAATTTTTTTGATCTCCTCTTTGTAATCTTTGTAAATCTGATATTTAACATATTTAGAAAATGAAAATAAAATAAACAAAATAAACAAAATAAACAAACCATCTGATTATCATTTTTTTTTGAGTTTGTCATCCACTGGTGGAATCGGTAATGACATCAAAATCAGCATACCAAATTTCAAAATCACCATACCATATTGTCTCGAGAATGTTGACCAGGAGCGTAACTAAGTTTCTGCAAAAGATTGTGTAAAAACTGAGTGAAAAGTAAAGTTGGGAATCAATTGAGTCACCTCCACATCAACATCAGCTGATGGATAAGCTTTCAAAGAAAGAACTTCCTGGAACAAAACACACGTTACAAAATAAAATTCATTCAAGGATGGAATTAGAAGTACCTTCTCTTGTGAATCATCGGAGCTATGGATTCTTCCTAGTTCTTCTCCTTGCTTTGTTTCGTGACCTTTGTGGGTATCACCATAGTCAACTGTTTGAACACCATCATTTGATTTGTAAGATGGAATCGCTTTTTCTTGTCTTCTAAGTGACTGTCGAGCCAGAACTTTGTCGTCAACTCTAGAGCTTCCATACAACTCTGAAGCGGTGCTTGTAGCTTCATCCAAACCATCTCGAGCTTTTTCTACTGCCTTCAACTCGTCATCTCCCCAAGTGTTTCTGGCTCCATCCAAGCTTCCGACACGATTCATGGCGGCTTTCTCTCTTTCCATCGCTTCCAGAGCAGCCAAGTCCGCCAGAACATCTCTAACTATATCATTCGTCAGCACGTCATCCTCCGACTCACTCGACTCACTCGATTCATCCATCTCAGCCACGAGTATTTCCTCCAAGCTTTCGACGTGAGCTTCCTGTCTTTTCTCCGTGATGGCTCTTTGGAATTCTCTGCTTAGCGAGGCTGTCGCTGCTATGGCAGCTGCTACCACCACCTCAGGAGTGACCATATCTTCTTCCAAGTCGCTACTACCTTTTGATCCGCTAGCCTCAAAACCCTCAAAGCCTCTAGTGCGATCTTCATGGTCTTCTGAACTGGTTGTCACCTCGTCAGAAAAACTCGCTGGTTCCTGGACTTTCAGATCTTCAAACTCTAATTTGCCAGTGTTTTCTTTGAAGAAGATTTCACCACCCTCGGACGAGCTCTGGTGTTTCAATTCACTCGGGGTTGCAAAGATCTCTTCTCTGGAGGCGTCGCCAACACCATCACTTTCGGACGATCCATCCCCGCCACCATCGACAATGCTCTGCAAATCCAGCCTCCTCTCCTCATCACTCAAATAAGAAGGATCATCCAATCCTGGGTCCACCACTGCGAGCGATTTCCCTCCTTGGAAAAAAATACCATCCTTGGAGGAATTGACCTTCTCGATCCCCTGGCTGCGATTTCTCATCAAGTAACCCACGGTAGCAAGGCTTGCGACGAAAATGGTAGCACCCAAAGCCAAAAGAACGCTCCCAAATCCTTGCGGCGCCGGCGACGAAAAGAGTTGCCAAAGAGGCTGCGGAGAAATCGCGACTGGAGTGGTGCTCCCAGCCGAAGAATCTACTCCCCTGTTCTTAAGTAGCTGCTCCATGGTCACTGGGTCAATCTCCACAAGAGGGTCTTTGACGGCCGAGTTGATCCAATCGGCCGCATTCTCGTCGGATTTGCCAGAGCCCAGGTCGTGGCTGTGGCCGGAGGCCGAGGAGCTGATCGAGTTCCTGGAAATCCTTTTGAAAGAGCGCAGCTTGGACGAGGATTTCGTGGCGGGCATGGCGAGCGGCATGAATTTGCAGCACTGCCGCTCGTCCAGCGTTGAGATTCGCACCGCAGCATCGGTCCCGGAATCAGAGGTCTCGCCCGCGCCCTCGGATTTGTGAGCAGCAAATCTGTGCTGGAGAACACAGAAAAAGGAGGTATTTTCTCGGGTGTGGAACGAATGATGCGTACCGTGGTCAGTGGAATGTGAATTCGTGGCCTTGCCTCCACCGACACGAACACCATCTTCTCTTTCTTTTCATCCAGACCTTCTCACTGGAGCACTGGATCGAAATCGAACCCGGCACCCCACCAGAGTCTCGAGTTGATTTTCCAATCCACAACCACAATTTCCATGGCGAAGATGAGTGGTCCACGTGACAATGGGTCCATTTCCCAGATTCATGCCAAAATCAAGCTCTCGAGTTGAAACTAGTATTAGCAAATCATTCAATCTAACCAGAAATAACTAAACTTTGACATTAAATTAGTTATAGTGGGTATCGTTTTTGCATGGATGGAAACCTTTGGGCTCTTAAACTAAAGGAGTGCATCAAAAAGAGGGATTTGCAACAAGGGCGGGCAATTCACTACCGGCTTGCTCGCTCAGGCTTTCTCCAATGCAGCACATACCTCTCCAATTTGCTCCTTGGGATGTACTCCATCTGTGGCAGCCTCGACGAGGCACGATCCATCTTCCAGTCCATTGCCCATCCCAACATCTACTCGTGGCATCTCCTCGCCCAGGCCTGCGCTCGAGCTGGGCGGCTAGATCACACCAAGAACATCTTCGATTCCATGCCACAGCGCAACATCGTCTCCTGGAATTTGCTCCTGGCAGCGCTGGTGGCGAATGGGAGCTTTACAAGCGCAAGAGCGGTTGCGGACAGGACCCCGGCGCTGGATGCCATCACCTGGACGACGATGATCCAGTGCTACACCCACGCCGGGCAGATCGATCGCGCCAGGGCTGCGTTTGATTCCATGACCAGCAGGACGATACTCTCGTGGAATTGCCTCATTACTGCGCATGCCCGTTGCGGGCAAGTCTCCCTTGCAAGGAGCGTCTTTGAGTCGATGCCGGTGTTTGATCTCGTCTCTGCAACAGCGATTCTTGCGGGCTACATTCAAAACCAGTACTTGGAGGAAGCGCAGTTTGTGTTCTTCGCGATGCGCCATCGGAACGAATTCGCGTGGAATGCCATGGTAGCAGCATTTGCCCATGCTCGGCATATTGATAAAGCGCAAACCTTTGCCGAAAGGATGCCACTTCACGACGTTGTGACGTGGACGGCAACGTTGCAAGGATATGCCGAGTGTGGATCATTAAATGACGCGAAGAATCTTTTCGATTTAATGCCAGAACGCAATGCTGTGTCGTGGTCTCTCATGCTCGTAGCATTTGCCCGGCTGGGCTTCCTGGGAGAAGCCCGGAGAGTGTTTGAGAGACTTCCAGCGTTGAGCTTGAGCGCCTGGAATGCGATGCTCACCATCTCCGTGGAGCGCGCAACCATCGAAGACGCGAAGCTCTTCTTTGATTCCATGCCGGATCGCGATGTGGTGTCGTGGAACGCAATGCTCCAAGGCTTCGTGGCCAGCTGCCGGATCCAAGAGGCCTGGAACTTCTTCCTGGCGATGGAGACGCGGAGCATCGTCTCGTGGACGGAGATTCTCACCGCTCACGCCCAGATCCAGCAGCTAGACGAAGCGAGATCGATCTTCCAGGCGATGCCTTGCAGGGATTCAGCGGCTTGCAATTCCCTGGCACTGGCATTCGCTCACTCGGGGCGGATGGGCGATGCCAGGAAGATCTTCGACGCCATGGCCGAGCGGGACGCGATCTCCTGGAACGTGATGATCGCTGGGTACGCGCAGAATGGCGAGATCGCGAGCTCGCTGGATATCTTCTCGGCAATGCGGCTCCAGGGTGTTCTTCCGGAGGATCTCACGTACACGGCGGTGCTCACGGCGTGTGGGAGAGGCGGGCTTGTGGATCGAGGCTGGGATATCTGGATCTCGATGCGCGAGGATGGAGATCAGCATCAGCAGCTGGTACATTACTGCTGCATGGTGGATTTGCTGGGACGGTGTGGCCGGATCGAGGAAGCCCACGAGCTGGTCGACAGGATGCCATTCTTTCCAAGCAATCTCGCGTGGTCGATGCTGCTGAATTCGAGCGCGCTCCACGGCGATGGGATTCGCGCGGATCTCGCGGCAGCGAATGCCGCGGAGCTCGATCCAGAAGATGGCGCTCACTATGTTCTTCTCTCCAGTTTCTACAAGCAGCAGCCATCGCGAAGAAGGCAAGCGATGATCCTCGACGATGATCTCTTGGAAGAAGCTCGTCAAGCACGCGCTCAAGAGGGATTGGCATAGAGCCGAGACGATCCAGGAGCTGGGAGAGATCGTGAGGAACGTTGGGAGGAGCAGGAGTCCCAGCGATGCGAGGCTCGTCCACCGGATCATTGCCGATAGCCAATTCAATGACACCAGCCCCTATCTCCCCCATCTTATGATCCAGATGTTTGGAAAGTGTGGCAGCGTAAACGACGCCAAGGCTGTTCTTGACGCTATAGATTCTCCAAACGCGCGGTCCTCGAGCGCGAGGATCCACTCTTTTCATCTTGCAGCTGATGCCTGCAGCAACCAGATGAGAGCTTTTCAAGAGGTACGAAGGCCCCCTTTTCTTTCTTTTTTTCTTTTTTCTTTCTCTTTTCAGTGTCTTCGTTCGAAAAGTAATGAAATTACGCCTTGCCAATTTTCCCATGGCATACTCACTGAATGCCGCAGGGATCCTTCTAGCCCACCAAAAAAGTTGATTTTTCAACCATGAAATCTAGATCTAACCTAATGTCCTGTATTTTCTCAAATCTTGTCTTTTTAAAAATTTGCAATGTTTCTAAAACAGCTAGCTCACAAGAGCTTTATGTAGCTTCACAATCTTGAGCTTCCATGTCCTCCAAGACATTAAGCTGCTACAACAGGGAAAGAGCAAAACTTTTCACGGGGATGACTTGGGTTTCTTCACAAGTCCATCACCTATCCCGGCACCTACTCGGGGCACCTCCTTGTGCTTGAGCTGGATGACTAGATATCGTCTCGTGGAACTTACCAAGCGTAAGAGCGTTTGTGGACAGCCAACACCTGGACGACGATGATCCAGTGCTACACCCACGCCAGGCAGATTGATCGCGCCAAGGCTGTGTTTGATTCGATGACTAGCAGGACATGGAATTGCCTTATGGTGTTTTATCTCATTCTAGTTGGCTACACACAAACCAGCACTTCTAGGAAGCAATTCGTGTCCTTTGCCATGCGCCATCGCAACGAATCCATAGTAGCACAATTTGCCCATTTTCGGCATCTTTAGCAATCTCATAGTTTGGCTTGTCCTTGTAGAATGTCACATGGACGGCAACTCTGTAAGGATATGCCTAGAAGACTATTTTCGATGTAACGCAATGCTGTGGCATGGTCTTTTATGCTCGCAACATTTGCTTCTTGCGGAGCTAACCATCGACGATGCGAAGCTCTTCTTTGATTCCATGCGGGACCGCGATGTTGTGTTGTGGTACGGGCCAGTTGCCGGATCTGGGACTTCTTCCTGGCGATGAAGACGCGGAGCATCATCTCGTGGATCGGCTAGACGAGGCGAGATCGATCTTCCAGGCGATGACTTACAATGATCCCGTGGCTTGCATTTCCTTGGCGCTTGGATGGGCGATGCCAGGGAGACCTTTGACGCCATGGCGGAGCGACGCGATCTCCTGGAACGTGATGATCGCTGGGTACGCGCAGAACGGCCAGATCGCGAGCTCGCTGGATCTCTTCTGCTCTAGGGTGTTCTTCCAGAGGATCTCAACGCGGCGGTGGGTCGAGAGGATGCCATTCCTTCCAAACAATCTCGCGTGGTCGATGCTGCTGAATTCGAGTGCGCTCCACGGCGATGGGACTCGCGCGGATCTCGCGGCAGCGAATGCCGCGGAGCTCCATCCAGCAGATAGCGCGCACTATGTTCTTCTCTCCAGCTTCTACAAGCAGCAGCCATCGCGAAGAAGGCCGGCGCTGAATCAGATCGCTCCTCCATGACTCGTGACGATGATCTCTTGGAAGAAGCTCGTCAAGCGCGCGCTCAAGGGCGATTGCCAGAGAGCCGAGACGATCCAGGAGCTGGGAGAGATCGTGAGGAACGTCGGGAGGAGCAGCAGTCTTGCCGATGCGAGGCTTGTCCACCGGATCATTGCCGATAGCCGATTCAAGGACAGCAGCCGCTACCTCTCCCATCTTATGATCGAGATGTTTGGCAAGTGTGGCAGCGTGGAGGACGCCAAGTCTGTTCTTGACGCCATGGATTCTCCAAACGCGCGGTCCTGCAGCGCGATGATCCAGGCATATGCCGTCAATGGGTATCTTGATCACGCCGAGAGAATGTTCGAAGAGCTCCACGATCGAAGCACCGTGTTGTGGAATACGATGATCGCGGCATACGGTAGAGCCAAAAATATTGATCGCGCGCAAGAATTATTTGATAGAACTCCTCAGAGAAACGATGCCTCCTGGAACTCTCTTATCGCAGTTTATGCCAAAGACGGGGATCTTGATCGCGTCAGCTTTATATTTGAAAGGATTCCTTGCGCTGACGCTTTCTCCTTGACGAGCGTAGTCACATCTTATGCGAAAGCTGGCGAAATCGAATCGGCATCACAATTGTTCAATAAAATGCCTGAGAGAAGCATCCCATGCTGGAACATGATGATTTACGCAAATGCCGAGTTAGGGCATTTTGATGTTGCTGATTGCCTCTTTGCTGAAATGCCCGAGAGGAACCAAGTCTCTTGGAATGCGCTACTCAAGTCTCGATCGCAACGCTCTAGAGAAAAGGCCGAGATGGTCTTTGAGAAAATGCCATCCAGGGACGTGATCTCCTGGACGACGCTGCTCACGATCTATGCCAACGCCAACAATGGATCATCGCCAACAGCGCTCGTGGCCGCCGGGATCATCTTCGATTCACTCATCCCCGAGAGGAACGCCATCGCCTGGAGCGTCTTGATCCGCGCCTACGCCGAGAGAGGGCGGCTCTCCACCGCGATGGATGTCTTCTCCAGGATGCCCCAGTGGAGCTCCTCGTCCTGGAGCTCCATCATCTCCTGCTGCGCGCAGCACGGCGATCTCGACCAGGCCCACGCGATGATCCGGCAAGCCCCTCTAGATCTAGAAACCATCTCCTGGAACGCCATCGCCTTCTCGCTCATCGGCATCGAGCACGATCCCAGGGCCATCTTCGACAGGATGGAGAGGAGAAACTCCGGATCCTGGCACGCGCTGCTCCAATCCTACACTCGATCCGGGCGGCTGGACGATGCTCGCGCTGTTCTTGATCGATTCCCTGTCCTGGACGCACAGGCATGGGGCGAGCTCGTCTCGGGCTATGCCCAAGCTGGGTACCTCTCGGAGGCGCGGGACCTATCCGAGCGATCACCGGAGAGAGACGCCGCCTCTGCGGCGTCGCTAGTGGCGGGGTACGGCCAGAGTGGCTGGCTGGGCGAGGCAAGGGAGATCTTTGACCGCTCCCCGAGGCGGTGTCCGCTGGCGTGGACCTCTCTCATTCAAGCGTTCTCCAGCGGTCGCGACGCCGCGAGCGCCCGGTTCGCGTTCGAGAGAATGCCTGCGTGGGATTCCTCCTCGTGGAGCGCGATGGTGGGAGCATACGCACAGAATCACCTGGTGGTCGATGCCACCATCGCGTTCCACCGTGCGCCCGAGCACGACACGGTGCTGTGCACGCTCATGATCTCCGCCTACGCCGCCGCCGGGGACACCACCCGCGCCACCAAGATGTTCGATCGGATGCGCCACCGCAACGCCGTATCGTGGGCCGTGGTCATCTCCGCCACCGCCCACAATGACTGCATCGACCAGGCGGAGCTTCTGCTCGATCGGATGCCCCGGCACGGCTGTTCTTCGTGTAGCGCGGTGATAGCCGGCTTGGCGAGGAGCGGGCGAGCGGAGAGAGCTCTCCAGCTGATCACCGGAATGGAAGAACAGAGCGTGGTGTCATGGACTTCGACGATCTCGGCGTATGCGCAACTTGGGCAAATGGATCAAGCGAAGCGGTGCTTTGACCTTTGTCCACAGTGGGACGCCGCGTCGTGGACGTCGATGGTCACGGCGTGGGCTCAGCAAGGAGAGCTCCAGGAATCAAGGAGTTTCTTCGATCGGATTCCCGAGAGGACGGTGGTGTCGTGGAACGCGATGATGATGGCGTATTCTCAGCACGGGCATACGAGCGAGGCATCTACGGTGTTTCACGAGATGATCCTGGACGGGCTGTGCTTCCCGGACGAGATCACATTCACGGAGATCTTGATCTCCAGCAGCCACAGTGGGAGATTGTCGCAGAGCCTGGAGTTCTTCGTGGCAATGCAGGCGGATTTCTGGATCAAGCCCGTCAAGGATCACTTCAACTGCATGGCGGACGTGTTTTGCCGCTCGGGATGGCTGGACGAGGCGACGGAGCTGCTGGGCCTCATGCCTTTCCCTGCGGATTTGTCTGCTGTCACGGGGCTGCTCACTGCTTGCAAGCTGGATGGGATTTCCTAGTGTCCAAGAGCTTGACGAAGGACTCGGCTGTAAATAGGATGGAGCCCGAAAAGTTCTAGGTACGATACAGAGCTGGCGCAGGTGCTGGATCAGGCGGAGGATGCGATCCGGAAAGTACCTCTCTTGAGCGAGCTCGATGCACAAAAGGTTCAGGAGGAGCAAGCGAAGCTAGCGGATGTCACAGCGCGGGTTCAAGAGGCCTTGCGCAAGCTGAAGAAACAATCTTGTACTGGAAAAGATGCGGGGGGAGCTCCTCAGCGATTGCACGAGACAGGAAGCGGCGCTAGGGCAGCACAGATCGAGCAGGGCAAGCTCGAAGCGGATGTGAGAGCTCAAGAAGCGGCACTGGAGCAGCACAAGATATGGGACAGACCAGCTTCAACAATCGTGTAATGGAAAAGATGGATGAGCAGCGAGAGGAGTTCCTCAGCGTTTGCAAGCAGCAGAAGATTACGCTCGAAGCGGATGTGGAAGCGGCACTGCGCAAGCTGGACGAGCAGCACAAGATGAAATACGAGAGCTTCAGCAATCTTGTAATGGAAAAGTTGGATAAGCAGGGAGAGGAGCTCCTGAGCTTTTGCAAGAGGCAGGAAGCGCTCAAGAGCAAGGCAGGCTCCAAGAGGACGGGATAGTCCTGGTAGTGAAGCTGCGCAAGCTGGAAGAGCGGCACAAGGAGGAGCAAGGAAGACTCGAGCAACGATTCGATCTTGCAAAGCAAAGTATGGATGTTGCAGAGAGGATGGATGTCAACCACAGCTTGACAGACGAGATCCTCAAGAGGCTCCTATGCGAGGCATTGTGCAAGATCCAAGGTCTCAAGTCTTTGGACAAGCTTGAGAAGCTGGAAACAGATGTGCCCAAGCTCGAAACCCCACTGCCAAACAAGCCCAACAAGATGGACCAGCCGAAGATCTCCATGGAAGCGCGTCGCAGGATCGGACTAAAGATGGCATTGAAGATCCTGCCAAAGTTAAAGCTATGATCATACTTTTTGTTCTTTCAATCCAATTAATGCCTCGATCACCCGTCCGGATGAACAGGCATGAGATATCGAGCTCCCAAACTCCGGGTCTTCTTCGCGGGCGAGCAATCGAGCTGTTTGGAGAGATGCTCCAGAATGGTTTCCATGCCGATGGGATCGGTCTTCGTGCACCGCGTGTAGCCATGCACGCAGTGCGTGCCAGTTCTTGGCTTTAATTTCATGCCCGTGGATCATGGAATCTTTCCAGAGCTGATCACTAAGGTTACATTGCTGATCTGCATGCTGCACGAGTTGAAACTCGTTATAAGCTTGGGTGAGGTAAATAAAATCCGTAGCCCAATCCACCACCATTCCCTTTGATTTCTCGAGCCTTGTCGTCGTAATTGACGAGCCAAGCTAGAGCAGCCAGCAATCCAGGACAAGAATGCGGACTCTCGGCAGCGTAGAGGGCACTCTTGCTGATCTCGCGTGGAACGCGATGCTCGAGGCGCTGGTGGCGAGTGGAAACATAAGAGCTCAGCTAAGCTCCACACCTTTATCGGTGAGCCATCACCTCTGGCTGTTTCGTTGAAGAAGGCGGACTTTCAAACGATGTCGCAATGCTTACCAACTCTCAATCTCACAGCTAGCTTTCAAAACCGAAGCATCTTGGCAATATCTTGGTCTTTCTTTCCTTTCTTAATCTTTTGCTGGGTTTTCTCTTTGATTTTCTCTTTATCGTCCGATACTTCTTTGACTTGGGTCTCATGTCAGTTGAAAGGTGTTCATGGAGTGTCCCCTTCTAGAGGTGGCAACCAGTTGGGCGATTGCATGCAGTCTCTAAAGAAAAAAAAATTAAGTTGAACAAGAAAAATCAATTTCCAATATTAAACACAAAACTTTTATTTAGCTATGGCGAGCGAGCGCGGCGACGATGGCGCCGTGCGATGGTCAGTGGCATAGGGGTGAAATATTGCGCGGGGACGGCTGGAAATTTGGCAGCAGCTGCCGAAATGGTGAGTTTGTTTATGTTCCAGGAAAACCATATTTTGAAACACTCTTCCAGATCGAGTGCCCGCAAAGACTGGCCAAAGGATCTACGAGCAAGCTCAGAAGCGTGCCAGAATTTGATCTGTCACAAGAGCGAGGGCTTTTCATTTTTGCTGAAAGAGAACGAGGTAAATATTGCTTCACCCCGATGCGTATGCCCGCATGTAGCGGGCAAACTAATGGCAGGCGGCTTCAGTTTAAGGCTAGAAGAGGCAGCTTATTGTGCTGCAGGTTTGTCGTCATGGTTTTATGCATGGTTGGATCCCTTCCCGGTCAATCGCAACTTGGGGAATAGAACCAGATGCCAAGGCCCGAGATCTTCCGACGAACATCATGCCTGAGAAAGAGGACGAGGTATACCACGATTGACTCTGGACGCTTCCGTAGGATGGAAAGGATGAACAGGTTCTCTTTCCTATTACTCACAGATTTGATATTGTCATGTGAGTGAGGGAGTCGTCCAAGCTGGCATGAGCCAAATGGCAAATGTATATTGGTTTATACATTGGAATCATTGGTTAAACCGGTATTGAAAGCCAACCAGGTATTCTTTTGGTTCAAAGAAAGAATTGGAAGCTCAAAGTCAAGGCCATGAAAGTCAACCGGTCAAGGCGCTGATTGCTAGCAAATGGACACTTGCCAGGCCACCAGCATCCGCCGGAATAAAAGGCACTCCGGCGCTAAAGCTTCCTTCCTACATTGTCTTTCTTTTCCCTTCTGCTTATCGTACCTATGCCACATAGCCGTGGTGGTGGTATGCAGAATGCTCAGTTCTAAGCGTTTTTTTTTCATCTAGCTCGGCCACCTCCTCGTGTCTACGCGGCCACTTTGTATTGACGTTCTGATTCTTGTGTAGTTTATCACGCCCCAGCCCCTCAGCGGGCTCCAGTTCCAGTCGGTGGCATAGTTGGTGGACTGGGCAGCATGGTCGCCCACGGTAAAATGGCTCACTCTTTTTTTCTCAAGAGAAAGATGCTCTCTCTCCCCTTATGTTCCTGGAATGGAACTGATTGAGCGATTTCAGGACTGGCACTTGGCACAGCCCAAGTGGATGTGGCCCCACACTTTCCAACTTGCTGATGCATCGCCAACAATTGCTGTTTCCACTGTTACCTGCAGCAACCAAATCAAAGCTTTCAACCAAGTATGAGAGCTCTTTCTTGTTTTTATGGCTGCTTTATCATTTTATTTCTCTGTCAGTGTATCAGCTTGAATGGCAGTGCCTGCCAGTTTTATCTGGATCTTCTACACGAGTGCCGCAAGGGTCCCTCTGCCTCAGGTACTAGTTCATCAAAATGCTGAATTTTTCAATTACTTTGAGCGATTTGACTAAAATATCTCGTTTAGCTAGTTTCTTTGTTCAGTAAAATATTTTACTATAACCAAAATATGTAGGTCATGTGTGCTTTTGTTTATGTGATTCTTGGAAGTTGTTTTAAATTTAGAATAAAAGACGAAATGGAGGCATCATTTATCTTCCTCTGTTAAAAGCTACCATAGAGTGAGCTTCCATCCTCCTCAAGATGAATCGCTTCCCTCAGCTCGGCCGTAACCATGCTCATGCTGGGCCTCCTGTCAGAAGAATGCTCCACGCACTTCATTGCAACCTCCAAGATCTTCCATGCTGCCTGCTCCTTGTAGCCTGAGAGCCTTTCATCCATCACACTCCGCAGGTTGCCCTTCTCGAGCTCTTTACATGCCTGGAAAAAGAAAACGTTAATGTCAAGAGCAAAAGATCTGAATTCTTACCCATTTTGAGAGCACGACTTGATCCTCTGGAAGCGATGATTTGATGGGCTCACGGGCGCAAACAATCTCAAATAGTACTATTCCAAAGCTGTATACATCTGATTTTTCCGTTAGCCTGCTGTAGGAATGGTACCTGGAAAACCAACATATTAATATGGTTGGAAAAAAAATTATATCCTCATGCTCACTCACTCTGGATCGAGATATCCCGGAGTTCCTTTGACATCAGTTGAAACATGCGACGCATAATTCCTATCGTAAAGTTTGGACAAGCCAAAATCGCTGACCTTGGCAACCATGGCATAGCTCAAAAGTATGTTGGTTGTTTTCACATCTCGATGAATGATGTGTTGATTGCATGAACTGTGCAGATACTCCAATCCTGATTCAAAGAATATATCCATCCAAATTTGCCAGCTCAAAACTTTGCCTACCTTGAGCAGCGTCTAAGGCGATTCGCAGCCGGGTTTTCCAGCTTAATGTCGGGCGACCTGTGCCTGTAACATATATATAGCCCACAGATCAATTTTAAGCTCACTAACCATATAGATGCTCTCTCAAAGTTCCATTTGACAGAAACTCGTAGACCAACATGAGTTGCGACCCCTGACTACAATAGCCAATAAAGGATACCAGATTCCAACTGATAGAATATCGATCTGGTTCAAATTTTAATCATGCATAGCAACACAAATCTAAATAAAAAACTCACCTCCGCCTTGAATTCCTGGTGGCCTTGCCTTGAGTTGCTCGATAAAACCTTGACTGCAATCTCAACGCCGTTTGAAAGGTGTCCATAATAAACTGGCCCAAAGCTTCCCTCGCCAACAACCTTTTGGAAGTTGTTCGTTGCGTTGGTCACTTCTCTGAAAGTGAATTTTCTGGTGCTTGAGTCTGGAGACTGTGGAGTCAAACCTGGAAAGAACGAAATCGTGTAAGCCACCAGGACTCTGTAATCTGCAGCTTATTTGGACTATCGTTGACTTACCTGGACTAACGTTCACTTGTCCCTGTTCTTTTGGCCGTCTTGCTGGCCGACGGGTGATCAAGCATACTGCGATTCCAGCTCCAACTAACAGTAGCGCTACACATGGTACTGCTATTTCAACTATGATTTTTGTGTTACTTTTCTTCTTGGCGAAGATTTTCTCGGGCACCTTTGCGCATAATGGGACATTTGAACCGCTGGAAAAAAGATATAATTATGCATCAGACTAGAGAAACAACGTAAATTCTGACTTGAAAGAGGATTGTCGTTCCGGTGGTATGCAATCGAAGCTGTTGTTGTCTAGGGACCTGTAAGATATGAACACAGAGAAAGGCTGTTACGTTTTTTTCTTAAAACAATACAACATACTCACAGGACCGTGAGGTTCTTCAAGGAGCTAAAACTTGGAACTGGCCCTGTCAATGCGTTGTTATCCAGATATCTGATAATAAAACCACATGAAAATTTAGAGAAATTAAGAATGTTCATCAGTTTTACATTTTTGTCAGGTGTGCTAGCTTTGCGATGGATCCGGATATGTTGCCTTTGAGACCACGGTTGGATAAGTTCCTGTAGATTCACATATATATAAGTTCTTTCTCGAGGGAACTCCTCCTAATCTCACTCACAACTCGGTGATCCTTGCCGGGATTATGCCTGTGGCACAAGTGATCCATCTCCAAGTGTAAGAGACAGGCCGGCATGGATCTCCAGACCATCCAGACAGATTAAAATCGTTCATCACTTCCCGTATCGCTATCACTGTTGCAGCAAAGAAAAAGCAAATCAAACAGAGGTGTTTCAGGAACAAAAGGCAATCGGGCGGACCATCGTCGGGTTCTGTTCCTGGAAGAAGATCTCCCATGTACTTGAAAAGCTCGGCCGCATTCAGGATTGAGCCGTTCGGCGCTGGGACGAAGGAGAAGGGTGTTGGATTGGAGAGCTCCAGAGGAACTGGAAAGTACATTTGCACAAAAGTCTGAGGCTGGAGGCTAACATTAGTCGTAGTCAGTGTGGTGGGAAACGAGCTTCTGTTGAATTGAACCACGAAATCCCTCGTGCTGTTTCCAAACTCAGCAAAGTAAAAGTTTACATAGTACTTTGTTGCATCGAGGTTTGCTGGAAACTCGAAAACCATGACGGACGTGGAGGTGATGGCGGTTCTCATCACTGCAGGAGGAGGCTTGTTGTAAGTTTTGTCCGTAAAACCCGTTGCGTTGGTGCTAATCTGCGGATAGCTCCTCATGTTGCTGAAACCATTATCAGCTCTCCATATCCGATCGTAGGGATCATCAGGATACCTGGCAGAATTAAGATGAAAAGAAGATAGGAAACAAATATCTGAGGGAGTTTGTCACCTGATGTCTGAATCCGAAGCTCCTCCAAGGTTGATCCTTCTCGACATGACCAAAACCTCACCGGAATCCGAAGCGTTTGCTCGCATTCCAGGAGGGAGCCTTCTGAGCTCGATCGCGGAGATGAATGGGATGTTTGCCGGTGAGGCGGAGCGGGTTCCGAGGCACAGATCCAGCGTCGAGTTCGTGGCTTTCACCACAAACTCATAATACGATGTCGACTGCCCTTTAATGCTCAAGTTAACCACTGTGTTTGCACTAATCATAATCTCAAATTCTGCCAAAGTTGATTCCAGGCGGTCATAGTAGAACCACGGCCTCAAGATGTAGTTCTCTCCCACCAAAACCGGAAGTGCATAGCAGTGCTTCCGGGAGGTGTCTGGAAAGTATCGAAGGCGCTGCAGGATGGCATCCGTGCCCGCTTTCAAGGAGCTGGTGATAAAGCTGTCATCGGGTGTCCAATTGATGCCATTTTCATCAGTGTGGCTGTCAAAAGCTCCGCAGTCCAGGCTCAAGAAACCTGTCAAAATATGAGATGAGAGCTTGTTCTTCTTCGTTTGATGTTTTCTGATGAGAGAGAGATGCTACTGACCCGGTTGGCCTGAAACTTGAGCCGGTGCTGCGAAGAGGCCGAGCGTGAGAATAAGGAGGAGACGGCGATAGGCCATTTTTCTTTTCGAAAGAGATGAGACTCTACTACTAGCGGGAGCCCTATGCTCATGGTCTTAGCCAGCCGCAACAGGAAAATAATATAAAAATTCAAGTGGGAATTTTCACGACGTACTGGACAGGAGAAAGAGTGGACTTTGAAGTGTCAATGTTGAGACCCGTTCTTTCAAGCTGTGGTTAATACAGAGAAGAATATGATTGATTAGTAAAAACAAGAGAATTCTAACCGGCTTCTTCGGCTTCAAACTAGTGCATGACGAATCTATCCATCAGGAAAACGTCAACCGCGGCTTTTCAAGAAGTTCGATTAAAGCCGCACAGTTAAGCCCGGGGCATGTTGAGGAAGTATCTTTCGAAAATCAACATATTTCAAGTGATGACAAACCTGGTTAGGCTGAAACATATAGCGAGGAGCCGAGGCTGAGCGTGTACGAGAAGGAGATGGTCAGCCAGCCACATTTTCCGCGAGAACTATTTTGGTTTTATATCGGAACCATCGCGACATTATAAGAAACAGAGCAATCACTTTTCCGGTTCTGCCTTTTAGAAAAATCGAGCGACGGGGAAAATTTCCTCTGGAATGGGTAGCATTTCCTGCTCCATGCTCGTTGTCACTATGATCATCATGACGAAACCTAGTAATCTCCACGTTTTTCCACTGGCCAAAACCCTGTGTTTTCTATAGCGTCAAGCTGGCTGATTCATCGTGCAGATGCTTGGGATCAATATTCAAACAGCATTTAGCATTTATCTTCCGCTGTTAAAAGCTACCATAGAGTGTGCAAGAGAGCTTCCATCCTCCTCATCAAGCTGAATGGCCTCCCTCAGCCCGGCCACGACCATGCTCATGTTGGGCCTCCTGTCGGAAGAACGCTCCACGCACTTCATTGCAAGCTCCATGCTGCTTGCTCCTTGGGGTCTGCCACACTTTGCAGGTTGCCTCTTTCGAGCTTTCTGCATGCCTGGAGGAAGAAAAAAAGCTTTGCAGTGAAGAGCGAAAGATCTGAATGGCGCTCAAGGTTCTTACCCATTTCGAGAGCATGACCTGGTCCTCTGGAAGCGATAACCTGACCGGCTCATGGGCGCAAACAATCTCGAACAGTACTATTCCAAAGCTTTGTATACGTCTGATTTCTCTGTTAGCCTGCTGTAGGAATGGTACCTGCAGCAAAACCAGAATATTATATGATGGTTGGAAAAAAATTTATATCTCCTGGGCTCACTCACTCTGGATCGAGATATCCCGGAGTTCCTTTGACATCAGTTGAAACATGCGAGGCATAATTCCTATCATAAAATTTGGACAAGCCGAAGTCGCTGACCTTGGCAAGCTCCAAAGTATGTTGATTGTCTTTACATCTCGATGAATGATGTGTTGATTGCATGAGTTATGCAAATAGTCCAATCCTGATTCACAGAGCATTTCTTATCAAATTTGCCAACTCAAAACTTCATATACCTTGAGCAGCATCTAAGGGGATTCGAAGCCTGGTTTTCCAGCTTAATGTTGGGCGACTTGTAACTGTAAGAGGAATATATATCAGAACGATAAATAGAATTAAGCTCACTCACCATACAAATGCTCTCTTAAAGTTCCATGTGACAAAAACTCATAGACCAGGATAAGTTTAGACCAGCCAATGAAGGATACCAGGTTCCTGTGGTGCACAACTAAGAGAATAAAGCTTCCCTCTCCCACAACCTTTTGGAAGTTGTTTGTTGTGTAGATCACTTCTCTGGAAGTGAACTTTCTGATGCTTGAGTTTGGCGACTGTGGAGCTGGAAACCAAAAGAATTAGAGTAAGCCGCCAGGACTCAACTTGGACTTCCGTTGACTTGACTTGACCTTGTTGTTCTGTTGGCCTTGTTGGTCTATTGATTGTTCTTCGAGAGATCAAGCATACTGCGATTGCCAAAGTAACAGAAGCGCTACAGATGGTACTGCTATTTCAATTATGATTTTCGTTTTACTTTTCTTCTTGCCGATGATTTTCTCGGGCATCTTGCATGCTTCGACCTTGGAACCGCTGGAAAAAAAAAAGATAAATCAAAAGAGTACGAAAAGGTACAAGGATTCTGACTTGTAGGAAGACTGTCGTTCCTGTGGTATGCAATCCAAACTGTTGTTGTTTATAAACCTGAAAAATGAAAAGCTCTAGAAGTTTTTCTAACAATGCAGAGAGTAACTCACAGGACCGTGAGGTTTTTTAAGGAGCTAAAACTTAGAACTGGGCCTGTTAATGCATTGTTATCCAGATATCTGATGAAATGATGAAAGAACCACAATTGAGGTCTAGAAGGTAAAACTGTGTCAATCAGGAAATTACAATTTTGTTAGATGTGCTAGCGTTTTTGATGGATCCGGATATGTTGCTTTTGAGACCACGGTTGGACAGGTTCCTGCAACTCATAGATATTTGAGCAATGTGTTAGAAACATCTTACAGTTCAGTGATCCTTGCCGGGATTATGCCTGTGGCACAAGTGATCCAGGCCCAAGTGTAAGCAGCAGGCATGCATGGATCTCCAGACCATAGAGTCAGATTAAAATCCTTCATCACTTCGCGTATAGCTATCACTGCAAAGAACAGGATATTCCACGAACAACAAAAGTTCCTATCTAGACTCACAATCGTCGAGTTCTGTTCCTGGAAGAAGATTTCCTTTGTACTCGAAAAGATCAGCCGCATTAAGAATCGGACAGAGGGTGGAGTTTGGCGTGGCGACGAGATCCAAAGGACGTGTGAAAAACACTTAGCCCTAAGGTTGACCGTGGTCTTAACCAGTGCGAGCTGGTGTTGAATTGGATCTCGAACATTCTGCTGCAAAATAAAAGTTGATAGTACTTTGTCGCCTTGAGCTTTCTGGAAACTCGAAAATCATCACGGATTTGGATCTGCATCACTGCTAAGGCAGGCTTGTTGGGAAGATCCCTACAGTTAATGTCGCGTTGGTGCTGACCCGCTCATAGTTTCTCATGTCCTTGTAAGAACTATCAGCTTCCCATATCCATCGTAGTCAAGAGCTCGAGAGATCAAACCACAGTTTTTAAGAGTTGATATCTGAATCCGAGACTACAGGCACGGCGCGACGCCCAACCGGGGAGCTGGCTTCTCTGTGTCCACGGAAAGGCGAGCGGTCAGGTTTGCTTCCTCCTCCCCAAACCAGATGCGCTCCGAGGTTGAGCCTGTACCGCAGGAGCAGAACTTCGCTGGAATCCTAAACACTTGCTCGCATTCCAGAAGGGAGCCTCCTGAGCCCGATCACGGAGATGAATGGGATGTTTGCCGGTGACGCGGAGCGGGTTCCGAGGCACAGATCCAGCAGCCTTGGAAGCCAGTCTTCGTGGTACTATGAGTTCGTGATGAAAGCCGCAAACTCGACGGTGTGACTTACAACAGCCGCACCGATCATGATCTCAAACTCCGCCAGACTTGATTCCAGGCCGTCGTAGTTTCCATAGTAGAACCTCGGGCTCACTATGTAGCTCTCTTCCACCAAGACCGGAAGTGCATAGCAGTGCTTCCGGGAGGTGTCTGGGAACTATTGTGCAGGATGACATTCCTGCTCGCTTTCAGCAAGCTTGAAACGGAGGCTGCAACTCCGGTGGTGATGAACTTGTCGTCGGGTGTCCATTTGATGCCCTTGTCATCAGTGTGGCTGTCTAAAGCTCCACAGTCGAGGCTCAAGAAACCTGAGATCAAACGAGATTACTTCAAACGATCTCGTTTTGTGTGATGCATGAGAGAGACTAACCCGGTTGAGCTGGAACGATGTCCAGTGTGGCCAGGATACCGAGCGTCAAAACGAGGAGGAGACGATTCATTTTTCTTTTGGGATAGCCTAGGTCAAGCCTGCTTCTCGAGAGACCTGTGCTAATAGCAAAATTAACTACAAGGAGACTAGACTTTGAAATGTTCCTGAAAGTCCATTTGCATTAAAATAGACCTTTTGAAACGAGCCTCACAAGACTCCGTCCAGCATCAAGTATGTCTAAGTATGTATAAGCAGGGAAAATTTCTGATCAAAAGAGCAACTTTATTATATTGTAAGGATGTGCTGCGATTGAGACAGCTTGTGTGTAGTGCAAAAAACCAAAAAAGAAAAGAAAAGAAAAAATGCAGTTTACAATCTTGGACACCAAATCCCTTTGCACTAAAGTGTTCAAGTTAGATATGTCGAGCTTTCACTCTAAACAATTTAACCGTGCATCACGACTCTAAAGTATCCCTTGTTTAGCGGTGTGCCCAAATCAGTCTCCTCATTGAGAGTCCATGACCATTGAAATATGAGTGTCCTCATATTCCAAACCATCACCACACCCTAGTGATTTGGGATTCGAACCAACGTTTTCGAAAAAAGGAAACACAAATATTCTGAGAAACACTTGATATTTGAATCCGAAACTACTCCGAGGTTTCGAAACAATTCGAGATCGTTTGTAGCTTCAAGGGTGTCATCGGGTAAGTCAAGGCTCAAGAACCCTGTCGAGTTGAGATGAGAGCTTATTTTATCTTCGATCTAGACGTAATTGATGAGATGCTACTAACCTGGTCATAAGCTGGCGTAGCGAGGAGGCTGAGCGTGAAAACGAGGAGACGATCCACCAGCCAGATTTTCCGCTCAGGAGAGACTGCTCATGATCTTCCTGATCCAGCCGACAACAGGAATCGTATAAAAAATTCAGTAGGATTTACCACGACCCGAAGGAGACGAGAGATAGAGTGGACTTTGAAGTGTCAAAAGAAACCCGGTAAGCTTTGAAACAGAAATCTCCTCGCTGCTCCCATGGCCTGTGGGTACACGACGGCCACGAAAGTATGCTTCGTTCCATCATCTCGTCGACGACCTGGCAAAAGCACCTGTTTAGAGAATAAGCGGCATAGGATAACATAACACAAGAAGAAATTTTACTCTTTGATCGAGCTTTCATCTGCTGCAATACTCCCATGCCACTGGATACTCCAGACTCTTCAAGTACCTGTCTACAAAGACTGTGAGTAGGAATCCAAGTCCTCCATTGTGCCACTCTCTGATGGCAAAGCAGAAATAATACTTGCCTGCGCATAGCTTTATCGTCCTTGCAGTTGCACAAAAGGTGGCATTTGAGTCCCAAGTACCTTCGCGTCAGTAACAATGACAATTGGCTCCAAGTCAGGATGAAGATGTTTTCTTGCCGCTTCCAGGATGTCATTGCTCTTTACTTCTTCAACCTTCTTTTTGTAAGTGAGAGGAAGGTTTTGATTGATTCCAAATAGATTGTATATGAGGACACGTGCTAGCTGGGAGAAGACGAATGTTGATAACTTTGGTAGATATAATCGCAAATTTACCTGCTTGAATAATTAAAAACAAAAGAATTTAGAGTGGCTTCTTTGGCTTGAGACAGCTTCTTTGCAATGCAGGGAAGGGTTTCAATAGTGCATGCACGTCGAATTTAACCTTCAGGAACAGGTGCTCTGACAATTGACATCAACACTGCCTTTGACAGCCTTTAGAAACTTGGGAATAGATTGAACTTGAGTATCTCCGGCAACGAAGACCCCCTTATATAACATTGAGTGAGACATTTTAAAATGTTGTTTTAAATCTATAATCAGAAAAGTTAACCCTGTGATTGATTGAAGCATTCCATCCTCCAGATGGTTGGAATACTTTTATGTTCTAATCTAAAATTTGTTCACTGATAATTAAGTCTCTAAGATATTATTGTTTTTGACTTTGATATTTTCTGTTTATTGATATTTGAATTTGGGGCAGTATAGGCAAATTAGCTTTGGCACTTCGTATGCATGGTGAAATCCTTAGTTATAGAGTAGCTATTGTCAAATGGTCACATCATTTGCCTCTCTCTCGATGCTCTTTATTTCGTTAAAAAGGGTGTGACAGTCTAAACAATTTTAATTGTTTGTTTATAATAATCTATCTAAACTTTACTAATGGGTTTGGTTTCTTTGCTAAAGATGGTTGAGGCTTCTAACTTCTCTCTCTATATTTTTGTAAGTAGGGGTGTATCACATTTTTGTGAGCCAGGTGACATCCAGAATAGCAAGGGTGGCTAATTCTATTAGTTATTTCTTTGCCAGCGATGGTTAGAATGTGTTTAAATTAGTAACACAGAGAAAGAAGTTACCTTCTAACTCATTTAAGTTGGTGCATTTTTCACAAAATGTAAATATTGTGAACTTTTTTTAGAGTTATTTCCTTAGTGGTGTTCTAGACTAGAATATACATTAACGAGGATGTTGATCTTCCTTAGAGGGGAGTGCAACTTTAGGTATCAAAAGTTATATATTAGTTAATCCTTTTGGATATTCTTTTTTTTATTGCCACAATAGCAAGAGGTTAGTATTGCTAAATCTTTTAATAGTCTCTCCTTAAACTAATTGAAAAACTGGTCAATGATTGTATTGGAGGGTTTTCAAAAATAACCTTAGGAACAGTGTTGAAGTAGCTCACCATATTTAGGAACAGGTGTTAAAGTAGAAGTAACTCACCACATTGTTGATGGGGTAATAGGGTTGTCCAGTCAAATTGGTTGTTAAAGCATTGGCAACAGCTACTCTTGTTTCTGCTCCTGTTACTAGTTGAGCCTTTTTTCTTGCAATTTTTTATTTCATTTTTCTTTCTCTTAAGAAAATGAAATAAAGAATTGGCAGGGAGTAGTATCATTACTATTTGAGTTACAACTCTTAAATAGAACAGTAACTATATTACTCCCTGCCAACTTTTCTTTGACATACTCACTGTTCACCAAAAAAATGATTTCAGGTTTTTCTCAGCTTTTGCTAGTGAACTTTGGATTGCTAAATCTAATATATGGTGTCCCTTTTGTTTTTTTAAAAGAGTAAAATGGTTTACTATTGAAGTTTGCTTCTAGAATTTATTTTCTTGATCATGTTCAATCTTGTGATAAGATTGAACATGATCAAGAAAATAAATTTATTGAACACAAGGAAATAAATTTGTAGAGCAAACTTTTATAACACTAAATTAACTTTTTTCTTTTGAGCTTTCATGTCCTTCAAACTTTTTAAAGGCCTAGGCCTTCATGTGGCTGATTTTGCTCCTCCAGGAGAGTTTCCATGTAGGCTTGCACTTGCTCTTTCTCCCATGTAGAGTTAGGAGGTGGTCGAGAGGCTTCCACATGCTCCTCTCTCTCTCTCGGTCCAGCTTCATGCAGGTGGCCGGGGAAAAACTTTTATAGACATGACGTGGCCTAGCAAATTTTTATAGCGCTGAGCTTTGTCCAACTATAGTTTCCTTCCATAGTGGAGTCATATATTGGCTGCTAGTATGGTATTTACACCCATCCTTGAACAGGAATGGCTTGTGTATGCTCTTGAGGCTGTCGCTTAGTTTTTAAAGGACACGACACTGGAGGATAAAGCAATTGCAAGTTTATCGTTCATCTAGAAATACGTATTATAACTGGATGTGTGCGCAATACAATCGACATTTCAGGTGTGTGTTTTGGGGCGGTAATATCTGCATTGCTGATGAGTGTGAACCTCAGAGAAACCAAGTAAGACTCGAGAAGCTCCAATCTAGTGCAGGTACAAGGGGTCGTTAGCAAGCTGTCATTTCGAAACACTTCCAAGGTTACCTTAAAACTCTGCTCGCCTCCATAGGAGAAGCATCGAGCCTTGTCACGCTACCAAGGATACCTTAAAACTCTGTACATATCCTACAGAAAGAAAGTGCCTGATTTTCTGTTTCTGTGCTTCATATGAGAGGAGAGTTCTACACTCCACTTCCTTTAGAGTTTGAAGATCTCTCTTTCTTTCCTTTTGGAACACTATGTTTCCCGCCAGCAACACCTCACAAACAGCGCGCATCCGTGGCCGTCCACCCTGAAAAATATGGAATGCGCCCTCTTGCCGCTCCATACTTCCTCGCCAGGCACTGAGCAGTTGTGCGCGTAGAAGATAACGGAGCTGCTGGCTACCGCCAGGGACGTATAGAACTCGTCCACTGAGCTCCTCGAGCGTGATGGACATTTGCCTCTTCTTTCGGCTGGGATGAGAATTCTTAGCTTAGAACCGGAATGAGCCAAAAACTCCCGCCTTTAAATCGGAAAGTCATATTTGGGGTGCAGCCGGAAAAGTAGTAGGGGAGCGATGGTGCAGCAGTGCAAACAGGTGCTAGAAGCGGATGCGATCCGGAGGAGCAAAGCACCTCCCTTGAATGCGGACGTGAAGGCGGCACTGCAAAAGGTTCAAGAGGAGCACAAGATCGAGCAAGGGAAGCACCGAGCGGACGTCGCAGCGCAGGTTCAAGCAGCCTTGCGCAAGCTGGAAGAGCTGCACGAGACGCAACTGCAGCGCGTGCACGAGGGCCAGAGGAGTTTCTACAGACAGCAGGAGGAGCTCCTCAGCGTTTGCAAGAGGCAGGAAGCGGCGCTGTGGCAGCAGAAGATCGAGCAAGGCAGGTTCGAAGAGGATGTGATAGTACTGGAAGCGGAGCACAAGCAACACAAGATGGAACAGACCAGCTTCAACAATCTTGTAGTGGAAAAGATGGATAAGCAGCGAGAGGAGCTCCTCAGGCAAACGGTGCGGCAAGGCAGGTTCGAAGAGGATGTGATAGTCCTGGAAACGGAACTGCGCGAGCTGCAAGAGCAGCACAAGATAGAACATATGCGCTTCAATAATCTTGTAATAGGAAAGTTGGATCAGCAGCGAGAGGAGCTCCTCAACGTTTGCAAGAGGCAAGCAGCGTTGCAAGGCAGGCTCGAAGAGGATGTGATAGTCCTGGAAGCAGAACACAAGCAGCACAAGATGGAACAGACCAGTCTTGTAATGGAAAAGATGGATAAGCAGCGAGAGGAGCTCCTCAACATTTGCAAGAGGCAAGCCACGCTGCAAGACAGGCTTGAAGAGGATGTGATAGTCCTGGAAGCGGAACACAAGCAGCACAAGACGGAACAGACTAGCTTCAACCGTCTTGTAATGGAAAAGATGGATAAGAAGCTCCTCAACGTTTGCAAGAGGCAAGTGGCGTTGCAACGCAGGCTCGAAGAGGATGTGATAGTCCTGGAAGCGGAACACAAGCAGCACAAGATGGAACAGACCAGCTTCAACAGTCTTGTAATGGAAAAGATGGATAAGCAGCAAGAGGAGCTCCTCAGCTTTTGCAAGAGGCAAGCAGCGTTGCAATGCAGGCTCGAAGAGGATGTGATAGTCCTGAAAGCGGGACTGCACGAGCTGGACGAACAAACGCGCTTCAACAATCTTGTAATGGAAAAATTGGATAAGCAGCAAGAGGAGCTCCTCAGCATTTGCAAGACCCAGGAAGTGGCACTGGAGCAGCTCAAATTCAAGCAAGGCAGGCTCCAGAAGGATGGGTTAGTCTTGGAAGTGGAACTGCGCAAGCTAGAAAAGCTACAGAAGGAGGAACAAGGGAGAGTCGAACGACAGTTCAATCTTGCAAAGCAAAGTATGGATGTTGCAAAGGAAAGGATGGATGTCAACCACGGCTTGACAGGCGAGATCCTCAAAAGGCTTCTATGCGAGTCCAGTGAGGCATTGTGCAAGATCCAAGGTCTCAAGTCTTTGGACAAGCTTGAGAAGTCGCCCACGAAGATCTCTTTGGAAGCGCGTCGCAGGATCGGGCTAAAGATGGCATCGAAGATCTTGCAAAGGTTAAAGGTCTTATAGTTTCTATCATTTCCATACATATTTGTTCTTTCAATCCAATAGTCCCAGCAATGACTTGGTCACCACCTCGTCCGGATGAACAGGCATGTTCGCAAAGAGATCGAGCCCATCTTTCACGTTCCCAGCTCGTCCAAACGCATCGGCAATGCAACCGTAGTGATCCAGCTCTGGAGAGATTCCATGATCCACGCGCATGGAAGCTAGGAACTGGCACGCACAAGAGACCAGCCCTGCATGGCTACACGCGGTGAGCACGCCCACGAAGCCGATCCCATCGGCATGGAAACCATTCTGGAGCATCTCTCCAAACAGCTCGATCGATCGCCTCCACTCCCCGCACTGAGCAAACCCCGCCACCATTGTGCTCCACGAGACTTGGTCCCTCGGCATTGCCCCCACAAAGAACTCCCACGCCTCAGCGATGTTTCCACTCGCCACCAGCGCCTCGAGCATCGCGTTCCACGCGATATCATCCCGGACGAGCATCCTGGCGAAGAGATCTCTGGCCTTCTCCGCCATGTTGCGCCGCCCCAGCCAGGTGAGGAGCCCAGTCGAGGACGCCAGATCGTGCCGCGGCATCCTTTCCAGCGTCTCCAGGGCCTGATCCAGCTCGCCGTTCTGTGCGTAGCCGTGAACCATCGCGTTCCAAGTCACTGAGACCCTGCGACGCATCGCTCGGAACGTTTCCATGGATCGATCGAGTCGACCAGCTTGGGCAAACCCCGCCACCATGATCGTCCCCGAGAAAGCATCCCACTGTGCCATCTTGTGGAGCATTCGCTCAGCCTCGTCCACTCTGAATCGCTTGACGTGGGCTTGGATCATCGCGTTCCAGTGAACGATCCCTCGCCGGGGCATGCTCAAGAACATCTCCCTCGCTTCCTCAAACAAATCTCGACTCACACACGCCTGGATCATCGCAGTCCACGATACTTCGTCCTGTTCCGGCATAGCTCGAAACATTGCCCGAGCTAGATCCATATGCCCTCGCTGGGCATATCCACAGATCATCACAGTCCAACACACAAGATCTCGCTGTGGCATCCGGTAGAACACCAGCTTGGCTTCCTCGAAACGATCGTTCACGGAATAGAGTTTCAAGATCCCCGTCCAGGAGATCTCATCTCTTTGATGCATCGCCTGGAACAGCGCTCTCAGTTCCTCCAGATCCAGCCCTTGCGAAGCTGTCGTGAGAATGATATTGCTCGAAACCATATCCCACTGAGGCATTGCTTGGAAGATCTCCATCGCTTCCCGACCATGACCGCTATAACCCGTCAAGATCGTCGCCCATGACACTCTATCCCTGCTCGGCATCTCGTCAAAAACCTCCTTCGCTTTCTTGCTATGCCCATTCTGGGCATACGCTCCAGCCAAGATGTTCCAGGAGAAAACGTTTTGACTCGCGATCTCTCGAAAGACACACCCCGCTGCCTCGACGCTGCCACACTTCCCATACAAGCCCACGAGGAGATTCGCGATCAGCCTGTTCTTCCCGAGCCCCTGATTGACAATCTCGAGGTGGAGTTCCTGGCAGCTTGAAAGATCTCTGGAGCTGGAACAAGCCCGGATCTTCTTCACATAGAATGGAACTAAGCCATCGAAGAAGCCGCTAGATCTCCTGGACATTCATAGCGTAAAAGAGAGAGAGACAGCTCAAAACATACGAGAAAAGCGAGGATTATTGGAAGGAATAGTAATAATACAGGTAGTAAGAAGAAAAAAAAAGCGCTAGAATGCTGGCTTATGCACCACCTTAATCTTGCTGCTGCTGTGCTTACCCTCTCGACTGGCCAGCTCGAGACGACAGGATGATTCCCACAATGAGACCGTATAGAGCCAAAGCCTCGGCAAAGATGAGAATCAGGATCATTCCAACAAAAAGCTTGGGTTGCTGCGCATTCGCCCTGCAAAGAAAAACAAACCAATCAATGGAGATATCGAAGAAAAAGATGGTTTTTGATCGATCGAACTTACCGGACTCCAGCGTCACCGACAATCCCGATTGCCATTCCAGCCGAGAGACCCGCGAGGCCGCAAGCCAGCCCGGACGATAGATGAGCGTAGCCATCGAACAAGTAGTAGGACTTTGCCTTTGGGTTGATGCCCGTGCTGATAATCACAGCGATGATGAGGCCGTAGATTCCCAGCACTCCAGCCATGACCACTGGCACGATCGATTTCATCACGAGCTCCGGCCGCATCACGCCCATGGACGCCACTCCAACACCACTCTTTGCGGTTCCATAGGCAGCTCCCATGCCTGCAAAGAAAATTCCATGAGAAAATGGGGAATTTTGGGATCGAAATATCGGGATTGTGGCAAGGAAATCGCGCAGGAAGGCGAATCCATGGCCCAAGCTCAGGCATTGCAATGCCGCGCAGCCGAGACACGCACCACAACCCTAGATCCAGTCCAGCCATGGCGGTGAGAGGCAAGAACTTACACGAGAAGACCAGAGCTGCCGCGGCGCCAATGAATCCGAAGAAGGGCGCCGTCTCATCGCCACTGAATGCGTCGGTGGAAGCCATGAATCTCCCCCGACTTGCGTTGCTCCCCGGCAATCCACGCCGGATCTATCCCTTAGGGTTAGGTCCCAAGAGAAAGAATCCCAGAATATCCATCCATTCACAGAATATTCGCTCTTCGTTTTCGCTGACTTGGCATGCTGTAAGCCCTAAATGAATGAGATTCTTCCTCACCGAGCATCAAGCCATCAATGTCTACGCTCAACGCCTCCAATCCTGCGGGATCGCTCGCGATCTCTTCCTGGGCAGAGAAATCCACGGCCAGATCGTGCGATCTGGGCTCTCGCGCGACCGATACCTTGCGAATCGCCTCATCGACATGTATGGCAAATGCGGGAACTTGGATCAAGCCCAGCGCGTCTTCCACGGCCTCAGGAACCCTAACCTCTACTCGTGGAGCATCCTTCTCGCGGCCTACGCCCAAAATGGCGCCGTGGAGAGGGCAAAGTGGGCGTTCGATCGAATGCCGCAGCACAATGTGGTATCCGCGAGCGCGGTGCTGGCGGCGCTTGCCCAGGCCGGGCATCTTCGCGAATCGAAGAGATTCTTTGATTCCATGGAAGAGACCAATCTTGTGTCTTGGAACTCTTTGCTCCTGGCATATGCCCAAGCTGGGGACGTGCCCAATGGAACAAAGATCTTTCATCGGATGGCTGAGAGAGACGTGATCTCATGGACGACCATGATCACCTGCTGCTCGCAAAGCGGCGATTTAGATGGAGCCGAGAGGTTCTTTGCGAAGATGCCCTGCTCTAGCATGGTATCTTCTTCAGCTATGCTAATGGCATATGCCGAGAACGGGCATCTGGAAGATGCAGAATCTATCTTTAAATCCATTCTTGATCCCAGCTTACCAATGTCTAATGCAATGCTACAGGCATACATTCTCTACTACAAAGTCTCTCAAGCAAGAGGTCTCTTTCTTTCTATGAGAATATGCGACGTGGTTTCATGGACTACCATGCTCGCAGCATATGCCCAAGCTGGGGATCTAGAATCTTCTAAACTCTTTTATGACAAGATGCCATTACACTCTTCCGTGACCTTCTCGGCGCTCCTCCACGCCCACGCGCGTCGCTGCTCGCCTCTCGACGAGCTCGAATCTGTGTTTGATTCCTTCCCCGATCGCCAGATCACTGCATGGAACGTGATGATCGCAGCGGCGGCATCCCAGCACGCCAGGATCGATCGATCACTCGCATTCTTCCACGGAGCCCCAATTCGCGACGTGGTTTCGTGGACCGCGATCGTGGCAGGGCACTCGGATTGCAAAAACATCGCAGGAGCGCAGCGGCTGTTTGATCTCATGCCGCAGTGGAATGCCGTGACCTGGAACGCGGTGATCACTGCCTATGCCAGAGATGGGCTCCTCGATCGCGCGAGGGAGATGTTCTCTCGGATGCCGGAGCCGCGCTGGGGGCCCTGGAATTACCTGATCCTGGCGCAGTCCCAGGCCGGGCACTCGATCCAGGCGCTGGAGCTGCTCGATCGCATGCTCCTCGAGGGTTTGATGCCAGACAGTCTCACATTCGTTGGGATCTTCTCTGGATTCAACCACGTCGGGCAGATGGATCTCGCGCGCCAGTGCTTCCGGTCGATGAGCACCGATTTCGCGATCGCTCCAATCCTGGAGCACTACTGCTGTATGATCGGGGTATTCGGGCGCGTGGGGGAGATGGGCGATGCGCGAGATCTCTTCGAAAGCATGCCATTCGAGCCGACGTCGATCGCCTGGAACACGATTCTCGGCTGCTGCAACATCCACAGCGATCTTCTCCGCTGCAATCAAGCGATCCAGAGCTCCGTGCCAGCGACCTTTGTCCTACTGTCAAACATGTTCCTGGGGCGGATTTAAACGAGAAGATTATTCCCTCTTGGATATTCTTCCCGGCTATGGCGTCCTAGGGTTTATTGTGCCAGGATGATCTCTGCCGTGAGCGCAGGGCGCCGGAGCTTGGCTGCTGCCGGATCGGAGTTGCGGAGGTCGCAGCCGTGCAATGCAGAGGCTCTAGCATCGCTGCCGCGCATCCCGATCACGAAATCGTCTCTTCAAGTAAGTCATCTCTCGATCTCGAGACAAGGCATCCAGATCCAACCTCGACCGCGATGCGCGGCACCAAACAACGCCGATTCATGGCCATCGGACTCCAGAATCTCTCCACCTAGCGGCAGCGGCAAGAAAATTCTCGCTGCCATTGCCAAAGGGATCGCTGCTTCGCTCCTTGCGTGGATCCTCTCAAGCAACCTTCTCGCCTATGCCGCGGCTGGGGGAGCCGCCGAGTCTTCTTCCATCGGAGCATCCGCCCTGGGACTCCGCATAGCAGATTATCTTCGCAGCTCGCGGTGGCCAGACGAGGCAATCGTCTTTGCGCTCGCGACGCTTCCAGTGCTGGAGCTTCGCGGGGCGATTCCAGTCGGGTATTGGATGCGGCTGAATCCTCTTCTAGTCTACTGTCTCTCGGTGGCCGGGTAAGTCACACATATAGTTTCCTTGATCTTGTTTTGTTTGTTCTAACTTCTAGTGTGCATAGCTAAGCATTCAAGCATGTCACGTCTCAAGCTTTGACATGCGTTTTCTATTTGGCAGGAATATGATCCCTGTGCCATTGGTGCTGCTCTACATGGAACAGTTAACTACGTTTCTCACAGCGAGGAGCTCCAGTGCCAGGAAAGTTTTGGATTCGATTTACAAACACACGAGACGCAAGGCCGGGCCTATCCAGGAATTTAAGTGGCTGGGACTAATGCTTTTTGTGGCAGTCCCGTTCCCGGGGACTGGAGCTTGGACAGGTGCCATGGCTTCTGTGGTTCTGGGAATGCCATTCTGGAGTTCCTTCTGGGCAAACTTCTTCGGTGTCGCCATCGCTGGCATTCTAGTCAACCTGCTGGTGAGCGTGGGTTTCAACACCGCATTGCTGGTCGGTGCAGTACTATTCGCAGCTTCTACATTCATGTGGAGCTTTCTCAGATTCTTGGGAAGGTCGCAACACTGAGGTCAAGCCAAGCGAAATCCAGCCCCGGATCTCGCACGCACCGGGGGGTATGTTTTTTTCCTCACTGGTGGTACACAATTTTCTTTTCATGCAACTTGTTTTTTCCTTTTATGCTTGTTTTTCTTCGGCTAAAAATTTTCGGTCTAAGGCTGCGCGTGTGCCTGTTTTGTACAGATGTCCTCGGGATCACGGCTCTGGGTGTCAACTTCTTTCTTATCATCAGCCGGAGGGAAAGTCTCTTCCGGACGGCTGGACGGGCTTGGCTTGTAGCGCAGCGGCGCTATCATTCACCAACATGAGAATGTGAGAGAATGTGAGCAAGCTTCGATGAACTTGCGACATTCGCTGTGGATGCCGCGGGGCTGTCAAGCAGTGTCTCCTCCTCTTCCGGTACACAGGAAGCGTGAACCACTCGAGCAAAGAGAAGAGAGAAAGCAAGAAAAGGAAAAAGTTTTTTTAACACTGACATGGACGAGGTACTTCTCCTTTCTTGGAATTTGGCCAGTTTTCTAATGTTTCCTATGTTGTTCTCTTTCGCCGGCCCAGGACAGGCACAGTTTTACCGTGACTTAACGGAGGAATTCGATCAAGAGAGGTACAGTGCTCTTTTAAGTTCAGACGTCACTGTAACACTCATCTCGACATCGCCCAAATTGCAGCTGTCTGCTTGTGGCCCTTGAGCTTTCCCGGCTTAAAATGCTCGATGGCAACGTTGTCTCCAAACGCGTGAAAAGGATCATACGTCTATGATCCGACCGGTGATGAAAGCGGCAATTGGTTTCCCATCGATGGATACTTCTTCTCCCAGAGCAGCATAGCAAGCGAGCGAACGAGCGAAGAAGAAGAAGAAGAAGAAGAGAAACCACTGTCAAAGCCAACCTCCAAAATTTTCTAGCCGCGGGGTCACTGTGCGCGAATCATCTAGCGAACCCCCCGGGATCCGACGGTCGCGGTCGCCACAACCGTTAGATGTGCCTGATCTCAGTCATGTGTACGTCCGGCGGGCGGCTCCGTACGCTTTGGACACGTGTCAGAGACTGTGCCACGTGGCGGGCTTAAACCCTAATCCATGGAGCCCTGGACTAAAATGAGGATTTGTTTTGCGGGGCGGAAGGGATGGAGTCTTCCTATAAATGCGGCGATGGGGAGCTCGTGAGTGCTCAACTACGACCGAGACGACGACGACGACGACGACGACGGGCTTCTAAGGAGGATTGGAAGCTTTTCCAATTGGTATGCCCTCTCTTTCCATCCATCTCTACTTGCTTTTTGTTTTGCTTTGATCTCGTGAGATCTTGGCGCTCGTGAAACCGATCGTGGATCCTCCGCTCGTTCGCTGGCATTTCCTTTTGGCATGCGCATTTTAATTCCTTTCTTTTCGTGTGCTGATTGATTGTGGGAGCTCGATCGAGAGCTCCGCTTGGTTTGCGAATGGATTGATTCGGGCATTGAATGCTAGCGGTTGCCCCGATTCTCTTTCGCAGGATCACCTCTCCCAACCCGAACTGACACGCGAATTTCGGCAGGTCTGGATCTCGGCCACCTCGCAAGAACACTTGTAAGGTTGGAAGCAGACAAATCCATCGCCTCTCCTTGGCGCCATTAGCAGCAAATCTCCTCCACATGCTATAAGTTCGCGATCAATCACCAATCCAGCAAGACGAACGATCCCACGAACACATAGAACAACAACGTCGAGAGCTCCCCCTTTACGATCATGGCATGGGCAGCGACGCACAAGGTCGCGCTGGGGAGCATCGCATTCGCGGTGTTCTGGATCCTGGCAGTCTTCCCAGCAGTGCCATTCCTCCCAATTGGCAGAACCGCGGGATCCTTGCTCGGCGCCGCGCTCATGGTCGTCTTCCAAGTCATCTCTCCCAACCAGGCCTTCGACGCCATCGATCTCCCCATCCTGGGCCTCCTCTTCGGCACCATGGTCGTGAGCGTCTACCTCGAGCGCGCCGATCTCTTCAAGTACCTGGGCTCGGGGCTCTCGTGGCGGAGCCGCGGCCCGAAGGATCTGCTGTGCCGGATTTGCGTCCTCTCGGCGCTGAGCAGCGCGCTCTTCACGAACGACACCACTTGCGTGATCTTCACCGAGTTCGTGCTCAGGCTTTGCAAGCAGCACCGCGTGCCAGTGCTGCCGTACCTCATGGCGCTCGCCACCAGCTCCAACATTGGCTCCGCCGCCACCGCCATTGGCAATCCGCAGAACCTGGTCATCGCGGTGGAGAGCAAGATCTCCTTCTTCAAGTTCCTCGTGGGTGTTCTTCCGGCAATGGCACTGGGGATCTTCGTCAACACCGTGCTCCTGCTGCTCTTCTACTGGAAGAGCCTCAAGCCGCTGCCCAAGATCGATGATCGCCACGCCATCGCCGCTGGAGACGTGGAGAGTGGTGGTGGTGGCAGTGGTGGCGGACAACTTGACAAGCCAGCGGCGATGATTCAAATGCCAGAAGTTGGCGGCGCTGCTCCAAAGGTGGCCGAGCTCCCGGAAGACGATCACGACCGCGAGCACGACCACGTCAGCCTCGTCCGCGTCCAGCCCCTCGCCGCCAGCCCCTCGAGCTACCAGGAATCCGGCAAGACCATCGCCGCCGCGGACGCGGAGAAAACAGAGGAAACAGAGCACGATCCGCCAAACTGGCTCCACTCCCCGGCAGTGATCGACGATCTCCTCCGCCTGGAATCGCGAAGAAGCTCGAGAAGCTCGAGCTCCTTCCGCCGCTCACGATCCACGCGGAGCCACGTCCCGGAAGAATTCGATGAGGAGGCGGGAGCGCTACCACCACCACCATCATCGCCGCCGCTAAAGACAACACGCGCGTCCAGGCTCCGGAGGAAAGTGTGGAAGGTTTGCGTCTACCTCGTCACCCTGGCGATGCTGGCGGCGCTGCTCTACGGCCTCAACCTCTCGTGGACGGCGCTCACGGCGGCGGTGGTGCTCATCGTGCTCGACTTCTCCGACGCGGGGCCGTGCCTGGATCAAGTCTCGTACTCGCTCCTCGTCTTCTTCTCGGGGATGTTCGTCACGGTGGACGGCTTCAATCGCACCGGAGCGCCCGGCCAGCTCTGGAAGGCCGTGGAACCCCACGCGCGGATCGACAGCGTGTCCGGGATCGCGCTCCTCTCGCTCGTCGTCGTGCTGCTCTCCAACGTCGCGTCCAACGTCCCGACGGTGCTGCTGCTGGGGTCGAGGGTGGCGGCGTCCGCGGCGGCGACGAGCGGCGCGAGCGTGACGCGGGCATGGCTGGTCCTGGCCTGGGTCAGCACCGTGGCGGGGAATCTCACGCTCGTCGGCTCCGCCGCCAACTTGATCGTGAGCGAGCAAGCGCGCCGGGCGGAGAGCGATAAGTTCAATCTCTCCTTCTGGAAGCACTTGGCGTTTGGAGTGCCATCCACATTCATCGTCATCGCGGTCGGGCTCCCTTTGATCCAAGGCTGACGAGATGGTGTCAGTGGTCATATCATCGGATATCTGTCGATCGATCGATCACTACTCCGTGTAAAAGGAATCGCGGGGAAGTCTTGGGTTTGATCGATTGATGGAGATGGACCAAGAAACCAACCAAGTCCACAAGAAAAAAACTCTTTAGTCTATGACTGATAGATAAGTCTCTCCAAACTGCGGGAGCGATCCAGTAAGAACAAAAAGAATGAAGAAAAATGTCTGAATATCTCACCAACCTGGAAGAGAGGCTTTGCGGCTTGACGTTTGAGCTTTCAGATGGCGGGCTTGATATTTTGCCACGTGTCTGCAAGTCAATGTATATATATAGACACGTGGTTGGCGGCTTGAGATGCCACTTGGACACGTCGTAGTCGTTGAAATTTTCTCCCTTGGCCGTCCGATCAGACCTCGAGGCTTTGACTTCGATGGTTGACTAGTTGACCAGAAACGTCTCCAACTTTGCTCCAAATTCCACGAAGTATTTCTTCTGTCAGATTTTCTCTGCCGAAAAATCAAGACTTTGGCCAGGTAAAGAAAACGATTTTTTGTTTTCACAGAAGAAATCTTTGTTCACAACTAAGAAATCTTTTTATTGTACAGAAAAAGCCCAACGAAAGCCTGCACTTCAGAGGCCTCGAGAGGAGCTACTTCAAAAGCAAGGCACTGAAGACTTTCATTTTTTTCTTTCTTTTTTTTCTTGCGTTCCTTGCTTGGCACGATCAACGCCGCTGTCTGCTGCTTGCTACGTATCCATCCATATGCGTCATACTATACACCCCCGAAAGCTTCCAGCGAAGGGATCAACGAAAGTGACCAGCCCGCAAAGTTTCAGCCTTGAATGAGCGGAAGCCCGAGAGCCGTCACGATCAACGTCGAAGGAATGCCGAACTTGAGATGAGCCCAGAAGGTGAGGTTGTAACTGTTGGGCTTTGCTTGCCGGGCTTGCTCGCAGACGATGAGATTCGCAGCGGAGCCGATGAGAGTGAAGTTGCCAGCCACTGTGCTCACCCATGCCAGGTAAAGCCACGATCTTGTAACGCTGGCCCCGTGAATCGCCGCGGCCGATGCCGCCACCCGTGTTCCCAAAAGCAGCACTGCAGAGAAAAGAAAGAAAAGGATGTGAGAAACAACGAGCAGAAACGATGGATGTGAGTGGGAGTAAAGGCAAAAAGTTGTGAGGAACAACAAAGAGTAAGAGTACGCACTGGTGTGACTGAAAGGAAAGAGCTCAAAAAGGAGGAAACAAGGATCTCTCAAAAAGAGTACGAGTATGAGTGAAAGGAGAGAGCTCCAAAAAGAGGGAACAAGGATCAAATGACTCACCAGTTGGAACGTTGGATGCGACGTTGGAGAGAATGAGAATCACGAGGGATAAGATGGCCACCCCCTTTGCAGAATCGATTCGAGTGTGGGGCTCGACAGCGTTCCAGAACTGGCCTGGAGCGCCAGTGCTGTTAAATCCATCCACGGTGATAAACATCCCGGAAAAGAAGACGAGCAGCGAATAAGAGACCTGGAACAAAGAAAGAGCAAAGAACGAAATCAAGGCTTTAGTCTCCATAGTCTCCATAGTACCGCGAACGCGAGAAAAAAGGAAGAGAAAAAGATGAGAGATCCATCCATGTCGCCATGTTGGTAGGCAACACACACCGAAAGCATGCTCGGCACAAAAGCCTGCCTATGAACCGAGAGAACTGTAAAGAGCGTGAGGCCGCCCTAGAGGAATTCGCGAGAAGGAATTCCGGATGCCCGATCAGATTTGCGGGTCAGAGAAGCACAAAGAAAAAAGGGAAAAGAAGCAATCGAATCGAGGAAAAAGGGCAAAGATGATGGTACCCTAGAATCGATCGAATCGATCGAACGAAAAGAGGAGGGGGGAATGATTGATCGAGGGTGGCACTTACCCTGTCCAAGCTGGGGCCAGCGTCGGAGAAATCCAGCACCATGAGCGCCACGGCGGCGGTGAGCGCGCTCCATGTGAGATTGAGCCCCGAGAGAAGCGCCGCCAGGAACCCTGCGGTGACGCCGTACACCGCGGCCATCCAGGCCTTGCGCCGGAGCTTGGGACCCCACCGGTACCACGGCGCATATTCCTCCTTCCCGGTGCCCTCTTGCGGCAGCTTCTCGGGGTAGTCCGCGGTGACATCTTTACCGCCCTTGGGCGTGGTGAGGTGCTCCCGCAGCTGCGCCCTGTGGTGGTGCTGCTCGTTTATCTCCCTGTGCGGCGCCGCAGCGTGGTGGTGGGCGTGGTGGGCTTGGCCCTCCCGCCCGGAGTAGAACCTCGCCGCTGTGGCCTGCGCGGGAGAATATCCCGACGCGGGGGAATACATCCCCGCGGGCGACATCCCGGGGGAGTGGACCCGCGGAGAGTAGAGCTGGTGCTGCTTCTCGGCGATGGGGTGTACGGGCGAGTAGACGCGGGAGGAGTAGAGCGGCGTGGGCTTGTCGTCCTCCTCCGCGATGGGCGATGGCGGCGCCGCGGCGGCGGTGGGATATTCCCCCACGGCGGCGGCGCTCAGTGGCCCGCTGTGGAGGCGCTCGTAGGAGAGCGGCGACCGTCGCGGGCTGTGGTGATTGTGTGGGGAGACGACTTGGATGGATTTGATCGCGCCCAGCTCCATGGCGGAGGATGGATCGCTGGTGGCATCGGCGGGGGCGGGGAGGGGTGGCGGAGCATCGGCGGCGGCCAGGCCTTGCGAGAGCGGCCGCCAGTACATGGCGAGGAGGAAGAGGATGTTGAAGACGATCCCGGCAATCATGGCGGGGAGGACGCCGATGAGGAACTTGCCGAACTGGATCTTGCTCTCGATCGCGATGACGAGGTTCTGGGGGTTGCCGATGGGCGTGGTGGCGGAGCCAATGTTGGCGCTGGAGGCGAGCGCCAGGAGGAATGGCTCCGGCGGGAGGTTGTGCTGCTTGCACAGATTGAGCACGAACTCGGTGAAGATCACGCAGATGGTATCATTCGTGAAGAGCGCGCTGGCCAGCGCCGAGAAGACGCTCACGCGGACGAGCAGGTCCTTGGCGCCGCGGCAGCGCCATGAGAGCACCATTTTGAGGTACTTGAAGAGATCGGCGCGCTCGAGGTAGACGCTGATGACCATGGTGCCAAAGAGGAGGCCGAGGATGGGAAGATCCACCGCCGCGAAGGCCTGGTTTGGAGAGAGGACCTGGAAGACGACCATGAGCGTTCCTCCCAGGAGAGCTCCTGCGGTCCGTCCGACGGGCAGGCATCGGACCGCCGGGAAGGTGGCCAGCGTCCAAAAGATGAGGAACGCGAAGCTCCCAAGCACCACCTTGTAAGGTGCTGCCCATGCCATGATCTTCGATCTTCTCCTCCTTTCTCTTGGACGATCGTCTCCTCTCGAGGGAGAATGAGAGAAAGAAAGATCACTGAGAATTTGATCGATCGATCCAGCGAAGAGAAGAGAGAGCTTCACGGCGCCATCTTACGCACGAAACCAGGAAATCAAGCTCTACGTACACACGCTTAAAAACGTTGGCCACTTCTTCTCGCCACACAAAGATTCTTCTTTCAGCTCTGACACAGGAGAGATGCGAGCGCTGTGGCGATCTTGCAACAAGAAAAGAGAGATTTTTAGAAGATGTGAGAGTGCAATGCAGCTCAACTCACCTCTCTCGAAGCGCCAAAGGTGGTCGTTTTGGTGATACAGCGGAGGCACTGGGAGAGTATTTATGTTGAAAAGCACGGCACTGAGTGCGTGGTTTTCCTCTTCTTTTTTTTTTTTTTTTTGCGCTTGTAGGCCTGTAGATTGCATCAGCATGCTATTGAGCGTTCACCTATGCGCAGCCATAGGTATCTCTTCTCTCGGCCGAGAGATCTTTTTTGTTCCACTGTGGTTCTTGGCCTCGATGTTGCGAGATTATGTCATCGGCTGATCAACGCTGCAAACCTCATGTTATCCCTGTTCATCCAAATACGATACGATCTGCAAACACGAACCTTTCCTTGTTTGGGGTGCCAAAGATTACGCAGATCCTTTGCTTAGCGAATAGATTTTTCCAAATTGGATTTCATGCTGCGAGATACCCGTCCGCGTCTGGAAAGAAGACCACAAGCTCAAGACGTTAGAAAAACTAAATCAAAGTGAGAGATTGCACCTGTTGCTGTTGCATCACGCCTTTGCTTTTGTTTCTTGTGCGAGACCTGATGTTGTTACCTGTTGGTAGGAAGACAACCAAGTCATATCACAAGAGTCTAGAAAGAAAGGAGGTAGCCTCACGCACTGGCTATATACTTAGTCAAGCAAAATCCCACGCCATGAAAGGATCTTACCTGTAGAGGCTCTGTTTATCATGGCTCTTCCGTTGACATTCCGAGAAACGCTGTTGGAAGTTCGTTCGCGTGGCCTACGCTTTCGTACCCAATCGCTTTCCAGTTACATTCTCGTGTGTTCTTCTTTATTGTAACAGGAGAGCTGAGATGTGACCCGTCATTGCTTTTCTTCGCCAATCTGAGAAAAACGCCGAGTTATCTTAGACAAGCAGCAAAAGGCGGATCCAAGTACCGAACCAGAATATGCAATTACGGACCACAGTCGATTTCTTTTGCGCCACTGCCTCGTCAAACCTGCACAAAACCAGCATGATCTCTAAGTTTCCAAAAGGTGGTAACACGAACACTGCGTAAGGATAGCCCGACTTCACCCGAGGAGGGATTTCGCTATCTCCAAATCGTGCACGTGTTCGTTTGCTGTTAGAAAACAACCAGGAAAATATTCACAGGAGCTCGGTAGAGAGGAATATAGAGGGTCCCATTCTAGATTACCTGTTTTTATTCTACAGCCTTCAAAATGTTAGAAGAAAGCGTTGCCACTTTGTCCTCCTCCACGCATGATCTCAGTGCGGTATCAAACTGCAAAAGCAGCGAGAATTTCTTACTGGAAATGCATTTTGTCGGCATCTGTCCACCGCAAAAGACCTTGCCTCGTCCTCGGATAAACGACGACAAAAAATCTATGCAACTTGCAGTGAATAGCGAATACAGCGTTTCCACAAACGAGGGATTTTTATTTTTCCAGACAAATACAATCCACTTCCGTCACCTGCAGAAGTACCAACAAAAATTGGTTTTTTCTTAACAAAACAGAGCTCGAGAGCGTACCTGGCAGAAGCCATCCACACAGCTCACTTGTCCTGGTCGCCCGGAGCGAATTTGAGCGATATGCTATTCACGCAGTGGCGCTCGTTCGTCGGAGTTGGAAACCCCTCGCCTTTGAAGACGTGACCGAGGTGTCCTCCACAAGCAGCACACGTAATCTCAGTGCGATAGCCATCAGCGTCTACCTGCATTGGAAAACACATTTCTCGGTGCTGCCTACAGCTAAAGTGCTCACTGTTCTGTTGATTGCTCCGGGAAGACCCTCGAAAAACGCTGGCCATCCACATCCGGAATCAAACTTTGCTGTCGATTTGTAGAGCGGTGTTCCGCAGCCCCCGCAGTTGTACACTCCGTCCTTGTAGAACTTGTTGTACTCGCCACTCCCTGGCATCCTGCACAGTCACAGACAAAGACTATCATAATTTGTCGTCCCGCCAAGAACACAGTATCGCCAAAGGAAATCTCATGTAGAATCATGCAAGAAAGATGCAGCATCGCCTATGGGAAATATTATCCAAAAACACCTTACTCGGTTCCTTTCATTCGCAATATCCGGAATTGCTCGCTATTCAGCACGGCTCTCCATTCCTCTTCCGTCTTGTTCACGCGCTCAATCGAGCACATTGCTCTCAGACGGTGGCCGCTCCAGCTGCGCGAAAATCCAAGACTCCCTGGCCGCATTCGAGGTGCGAGCGCCATCGCTGCAGCCCCAGCCAGCGCCATTCCCCCCTATTAGCAAAAACCCTAATAGTTTGCATTATTTAATTTCAAGAAAGGTTGTAAACGGGTGTTAGGGATGAACGAGCCATGTTGCGAACGGGAAGAATGGAGTTTTACAATCCATCTTTCTTCTCCACGATTAAAGAGAAGGTGTGGAATCCAGCTGCGATCAAGGAAGATACCTCCATGCGGTGGACGGCTACTTCCAGTAGGAACTCTCGAAAATAGAATTTAACGCAAAGAGTTGAGAGTTCACTAGTTCCTGTGGTGCAAGCGTGACAGACTATAGCTTAAGAGTATGGAAAGTAATCGAATCCAAGAGCTCTAGCTTTTCTCATAGAGATTAACAAAGGAAATTCTATCCATGATATTGGAAACCATATACTTAAAGGAAAAGAGTCTCAAGGTATGCTAGAGATAAGCTATCATGCACAGTCCTAACAAAGCTTGAAGAGAGGAGAGATAAATCCCTGCACATGCTCATGTTTATTTTTTCCTATGAAACCTTATATAATTTAACTTTTAATATAAAGTTTTACAATTTAACCATTAGCTAAAAAATATATAAATATATAAATTTTAAACATATTAATATATGAAGAATACATTGAGTGAGCAATTATGTCTTTTGGGATATAATATAATATCTAGTATGATTCATTAATTCAATTAATTAATCAGAAGTTTAAAATTATAAACATGTTTATAATTTATAAATAAAATATTAATCTTATTGCATATCAACAGATAGATTGTAGAATAAACTAGAAGATACTAGAAATTTTCGAAGAAATTTTATAAATTATAAAGACAAAATCATTCTAAATGAATAACAACCTTTAGATGATAGAATATCCCAGAATATTCACACATATTCTAAGTATATCCACTACCACCTCAGTCCTTACATGTTTGCTTAAGCAAACCAAAAAGATTAAAATGATTAAAATTTATAAATCATAAATATATTAATATATTATTATTAAAATATGAAGAGTCAAGACATCTTAAAACATTTATCACCATAACACCCTGTCAACGTAGCTAACACTTTGTGTGAAGTATACTATTATTGTCTCCTACAATTAAGATTAATATTGGTTTAATATTAATCAGTTTAATAGATAAGAGGATATGATTATGCTCTTATCCCAGGAATCTTATCCTGTTATTCTTTATCATAAGTATAAATAAACCAATATTAATCTTATCCTCTTATAAGTGGTTTATTTATTTCTATGATTTAAATTTTAGCATTTTTATATTAAAATATGTAAAATAAATTTGTAAATTTATAAGCACAAAACAGATATTTTAATCATTTTCTCACTTTAGTTATTATTGTAATATTATTTAATATTGATTTTTTAAATATATGTCATAAATCAGTTATGAACTTTAGTGCAATATTCAACATACTGATCCTCTAAAAATTATGCATATATAACAGTTTTATATATATGAATTAAAAACAAATTACACCACTTATAAATCTATGAATGCCTCCTCTTGATGTTCTTTTAAATCCTGACCCATCAACAAAAGCACCTTAACTGCTTTTAATCCTTTTAAGAGAAAAAGATGATATGAGATCAGGTGTATGACTATCATCCTATATACTATTATTAATATAGTAGTTGATAACTATTAAATTGGTTTCAATCCAAATCAGTCACTTTTATATATAAACTATGGTTTTTGGGTTAATTGAATATATATATTTCTATACTCATAATGATGAAGATAAAGGGAAATTTTGATTATCCCTAAGGAGTGTTTGGATTTGTGTTTTTGGTTTTAATATAACTTTTGTGTTATCTAGATTTCTTTTATTCTTATAACTTTTCTATGTATTCCTTTTTTCTTTTTCCTTTTTGTCATTTATACATCTTTTTTTGACTTTAGAGTAACAATTGGTGCAGTTGCTTGATGCTCTACAATTATAGATGAATAATTAAACTCAATTGATAGCGGCAATCATAGCATATGGTGCTTTTTTAACCAATCCTTGCATTTGACCAAATTTCTTTCATGGGAGTTTTGGATATAATGTGTGTTATTAATTTGATCACTTTATAGTGATTTCCAGCTATCATTCTTGAGATGATACCCATATCTGCATAAGTTTCCCATATGTCTCTAAAGGGTGGTATTATATGTAGCCACTCATATGAATTAAAGCATTTTCCCAAATATCTTTAAGTGTACATTTAGACATGTTAACAACTATGATAATGCCTTTTTAACAATTGCATTATTTTCATCAAGGGTTATCTGAGTTAATTATATAATTTAGTCTTTGCTTCTAAAGCCTCTTATTTCATGCAAAGCCAAATATTTTGGAGCAAATTAAGTTAGAATCATGTAATTAACATTTCATTAAAATTTTATGGGACTTGTGCATACATTTTCCCTAGCCATCCTTAACGAAGTTCTTTGACTGATATAATGTTATAAAACATCACCTTTCCCATTTGTAATTGTATATGTTTCAACTCTATTTCCCATGGAAGATGCTTTTGTTATGATGAAATTGATGTTATTGCTACTTGTATTCAAGGGCAATGAAAATGTAATCACATCCATGATGTTTACTAATAGACGTGTGATATTATTTATCATATGTATTGACATTGTCAAGGTTTCCTAGAATAACATCTTCCATTTCTTGGGTGAAGGTTTTGGTGTTAATAACATCTTGTTAGTGTTGTTGAGGTGGAAAATATTAACATAAAGATTCTTCTAGGAAATAAAAAGCAAGTAGTGGAGGTCCTTGCATGAATAAATGAATGACCCCTCCATCCTTCTTTTAAAAGTACCATCAAAGGGTTTATTTAGCACTAATTTATTTAGTTCACTTTTCAAATTTTTATAGCAAAAGGTCCTCTTTATATTGATCAATATTGGTTTGAGTTAATCCTCTATTACTCAACCTATTGTCACATGTTGCCATTTATAATTACATTGTACAAGAGCTAATTTTCATTCTGGTTTAAGAATCTCTATTATCTTCTTTGTATTAATAAATACTGTTTGAGTTAATCTTCTATTGCTCAATTTGTTGCCATCTATAGTTTTCATTCATTATGGCAACAACCATATATATACATTTAAGGAGGACTTAGTTGTATGTATAGATGATCTTAAGCTTTAAGCTTTAATTGTTGTAAATGGTGCTAAGTCAAGCTTTTGACCTCATCTTTAGTATATGCTAAACTTTAAGGTTTCTTTTTTAGTTTATTGCCATCTATAGTTGCATTAAACGAAAGTTAATTTTCATTCATTATGGCAACAATCATATACATGCATTTAATCTTTTATTGCTCACTCTATCGCCATATGTTACCATTTATAGTGGCATTATATGAGGGTTGTGTGTATAGATGATCTCAAGCTTTAAGCTTCAATCATTTTAAGTGATGCCAAGTCAAGCTTTTGACCTTATCTTTAATATAGATTAGTGGTAACACAATTATACCAAATGTAATTTTGAAATTTCTCCCTCTTATCTTATATTCTTTCTTCTCTCTTCCATTTTTCTCATTTTTATCCTATATTATCCTTTTACTTCTACTTGTAAACTTTTGAACTTAGTGTGATTTCACTACTTAGCCAATAAAGTCGGATCCAAGACCTATCTGATACCAAATGTAAACTCTTGAATTTGGACTTTTTGGGAGGTCACTTAGCTTAGTACTATTCAAATTCAAAAACACTTATAATGTAAGCAACCAAAGGGATTCAAAAGATGATCCATAAGGGTTTAAATATAAACAGAAAAGGTCTATAATAAAAATGCATCATTTTGTGATATTTAGGGTTCATTTTTACTTCTACCACTTTTGTCTCCTTATCTATTTTTCTTTCTTGATTTTTTATTCCCTCTTTAAATCCCTTATATAGTTTTTATGTTGCAATAATTAATCAACTAGAGCAGAAGTATATTGATCTCTTTGATTTTGACCTATCAACTAGGTCTAAGATTGCAATTTATCATCCTATTCTAACTAGGGATGTTCATTTAGTCAAGATTTCTACTCAAAGTCAATCATTAAAGTACATTAAAATATTACAGATAAATATCAAGGAAATGTTAGAAAAAGGTGTTGCCCAAAAGTCTAAAAGACTTTGGGTAATAAGGACCTTAGAGAAAGAAATGGTTATTAGGCATGTGACAAATATATTTCATATATGAATCATATCTTATGTGTAAGGAACCGACTCCCCGAGATGTCGTAGGCTAAAAGATCCCCGAAAGCTTGACCGAAATGACAAAGAGTTTATCGGATGGGACCAAGTCGAAAATCGAGTCCAAGACCGACTCTGAGACCGAGTTCGAGATAGGGTCCGGGATCAAGCCGAGGCCGAATCGGAGACTGAGATCGAGACCGAGTTCGAGACCAAGTTCGAGACGGAGTCCGAGATCCAAATCGGGTCCAAGACCGAGTCCGAGGTCGAGTCCGAAGTCGAGTCCGAGATCGGGTCCGAGATCGAGTCCAAGATCGAGTTCGAGACTGAGTCCGAAGTTGGGTCCGAGATCGAGTCTGAGATCGATTCTGAGACTAAGTCCACATACTAATACAACTCAAGGGGTGAAAGCCCAAAGCGTGTGTCTCCCGGGGGGGGGGGGGGGGGG